AAACCCTGCTCTTATATATTTAATATATCGAAATACAAAAAAAATAATATCACAAGTATAAAAACAATAAGAGTAACAAGCTTTAATAAGCACACAAATAAGAGAATAAACATTAAAATAAGCAAATGTAGAGTGTATAGGCCTACTTATGTATTGGTATTTCAATAAAAGCATCTGTGTACCACACTCACCAACTAAACGAATGCCAGTATTGTGTTTGCTCCGAGACAAGTCCGCCGTCCATATAAACCATCCCTGGATTAGACCGACTGTGGTTTGACTGTATCCATTAGCATCTCTATGTTTATGGCTGTTTTAAGAAATCCCCCTCATTAGGCTGTGCGAGATATCATTGTTGACTTATTTTAAATATTTTTCAAGACTCGGGTACAACTTGATCATATATCTCTAGCTAATCTCGGATCTCTAGCTTCAGGTGGTAGTGGCAAGGTGGCCTCAGTTGATAGTGGCAAGCTGGCCCCAGTTGAAAGTGGCAAGCTGGTCTCAGTTGATAGTGGCAAGCTGGCCCCAGTTGATAGTGGCAAGCTGGCCCCAGTTGATAGTGGCAAGCTGGCCTCAGTTGAAAGTGGCAAGCTGGCCCCAGTTGATAGTGGCAAGCTGGTCTCAGTTGGTAGTGGCAAGGTGGCCTCAGTTGATAGTGGCAAGCTGGCCTCAGTTGATAGTGGCAAGCTGGCCCCAGTTGATAGTGGCAAGCTGGCCTCAGTTGGTAGTGGCAAGCTGGTCTCAGTTGGTAGTGGCAAGGTGGCCTCAGTTGATAGTGGCAAGCTGGCCTCAGTTAGTAGTGGTAAGCTGGTCTCAGTTGATAGTGGCAAGCTGGTCTCAGTTGATAGTGGCAAGCTGGCCTCAGTTGGTAGTGGCAAGGTGGCCTCAGTTGGTAGTGGCAAGCTGGTCTCAGTTGATAGTGGCAAGCTGGCCTCAGTTGATAGTGGCAAGCTGGCCTCAGTTGGTAGTGGCAAGGTGGCCTCAGTTGGTAGTGGGAAGCTGGCCTCAGTTGATAGTGGCAAGCTGGCCTCAGTTGGTAGTGGCAAGATGGCCTCAGTTGATAGTGGCAAGCTGGCCTCAGTTGGTAGTGGGAAGCTGGCCTCAGTTGATAGTGGCAAGCTGGCCTCAGTTGGTAGTGACAAGCTGGCCTCAGTTGGTAGTGACAAGCTGGCCTCAGTTGGTAGTGACAAGCTGGCCTCAGTTGGTAGTGACAAGCTGGCCTCAGTTGGTAGTGGGAAGCTGGCCTCAGTTGATAGTGACAAGCTGGCCTCAGTTGGTAGTGACAAGCTGGCCTCAGTTGGTAGTGGCAAGTGTCGTAAACGACAGAAATCCGTTGTTTAATATCTTGCAACACATTAAGACTTTTTATATTTCAGTTGTTTGTTTTTTTACATGATTTATTTCATAATCTGCTACAAACACTTGATGGTTATTTGATGTTTGTGCGAGTTAATACAAAACTACCTTCTATACATTTCTTCTTCTAATGCTCTCCATCAATATTTCGCACACCCCTGTCCCCTTTTATTTCGTTAACAACGGCAAACATTCAATAGTTTCATCTACCAGCAGTAGTTCAAGATATCTCATGTTTGAATCAACGATTGTTCCTTACTTAGTCACAATGGCGGGCGGGCCAAGTTGGCTTTATTGCCTGTACCCACGCGTGTTTTTAGAACGTCGGATTGACATTTAGAGAAGGGTATCTATTGATCACTGGCTGATGTCGTTTAGATGATGACCATTGATCTCTCTGTGTTGTTTAGATGATGACCATGTATCTATTGATCACTGGCTGATGTCGTTTAGATGATGACCATTGATCTTTCTGTGATGTTTAGATGATGATCAGCCATTAACTAACATAGCATTAGTTGATTCGGTCATCTATATGTTGACCATAATTCTTTTGATCAATGTAGCATTCGTTGGTCAAGTCATTAATCTTGGACATGTTTCCAGCTCAGACGTGTGATCTTTAACTTCTTCCCCGTCGATGTATTTAAGTACTTTCTCAATGAAATAGTTTGAATCGGTGTTGTCGATAACAAAAGCTAACCCGAACTAAAAGCTAGAAAGTTAGTCAAGGCTGCTCACTGTGTTTATTGTACAGGTGTCGCTGTTGGTCAGGATAAGACTTGTGTGCATTTCTATGTCGCATCTACATGGTCCCGCCGTTGATGTCGCATTAGTCCTTATGAATGACATGATTGGTTATACAATGTAATTTCATGCGTGTTACATTTGTCTGAATCCCAGGTACGTGTTTGTTTTTAAAGAGAGAAATCCATTGGCTGGGGTGGGATGGAAGGATGCCATATGAAGGATCGTCGTTGGTTTTTTGTTACTATACCTTTTATTTGTACATGTTATTTGTTTTAAAGTTTGTTGAAGTGTGCCAGTGACATATGGATTCATCACACGTGAGCCGATCTTTATGCCTGTTGTATGTCACGTGTATGGGCCGGTCACGTTCGAGAGTTTATCAGACGTGAACGGCTCTTATAACATCTCGCCCCTACTGCTGCTGTTTTAGTGTTAGTGACCATGACGTTTCCAGTGGCCACCCGTTTTGTTTTGTTTTATTAAGGCTGCTCACGTGAGTGCTGGTCTACCAAATATATTTTTGGGGAACTACAATTTTAAGGGTTAACTAAACGTAAGGCGTGGTCTTTAGGACTAGTGGTGTGCTATTTTGGATTATTTGGACATGGGGTGTAAGCCACGCAGTATAAAATGTAGTTTGCGTGGATTTCCTCGTCATTGTACACATTTTTTAAAATCCAAACTTGACTGAGTATGCAGCATTTACTCAGTTAAATGTACACGCAAAAAAAAAAGTACACACAAGTGAACATGCATAAATGTACACACAAACATGCATACATTCTAACACAAGTTAACACGTACAAATTTACAGTCAATGAAATCGCAACTAAATATCTGTATTAAAAACAGATATACACACAATGTTATTAAGTTACATATTGTAATATAAAAAAACGAACTTAACCTTTAAACTAAACTGTTGTATAGATACATATTGTACATGTTTATGTTAGTAATACCAATCACCCTTTGAGCCATTTAACGTGTTAATACAAACAACAAAGCGCCTATCAGTCGCAACCACACATCATGTAACAAGTCTCATCGTAGGCTGGGGACCGCACCGCTGACCTTTAATGTTGGTCTGATGCTTGTGGCTGTGTTTGGAAGATGTCAGACCACAAACACGAACATACGTTCAGTAGAGACAATGTTAATAAGTGCACACATGAATAATTTCTTCCCGACCTGAATACAATTTTTATAATTACATTCTAATGACAGTTTAATAAACTAAATATATTCTTATAACAGTGTTAACCGTCGATTTCCTTATCCTTAATCACCACTTGTCCTTAATCACCACTTGTCCTTAATCACCACTAGTCCTTAATCACCACTTGTCCTTAATCACCAATTGTCTTTAATCGCAACGTGTCCTTAATCACCACTTATCCTTAATCATCAGTTGTCATTAATCACCATACGTCAGTTGTTCTTAATAACCTATTGTCCCTAATTACGAATTGCCAATACTCCTTAATACCATCTTGACCTTAATAATCCCTTGTTATTTTTCCTTAATCACCACTTCATTTGTCCTTAATCACCATTTGTCCTTAATCACCATTTGTAATCACCATTTGTCCTTAATCACCATTTGTCCTTAATCGTCATTTGTCCTTAATCACCATGTGTCCTTAATCACCATGTGTCCTTAATCAACATGTGTCCTTAATCACCATTTGTCCTTAATCACCATTTGTCCTTAATCACCATGTGTCCTTAATCACCATGTGTCCTTAATCACTATTTGTAATCACCATTTGTCCTTAATCACCATTTGTCCTTAATCACCATGTGTCCTTAATCACTATATATCACTGGCACTCAGTCCCGTGAATCATATCTTAGTGTATACGTTGCTGTTGTTTTTGCATCACGAGACACGGCTTCAAATCATTGTTTTTGTTGAAGTTAACGAGCAATCAATAGAAATAGAGATTAATCAGCCGCAGAGATTATTTAACTTATGAAAATTTAATCATCAGCTAAATTTATCTGATACATAGTGGCGTTGTCCTGGAGACCCGCGTTACTACCACGTTAAATGACACGCAATCGATGGGAAACTTTAACCACATTTTGTTTTTAATTTTAAGTGACCTAATATCTCGGCATTGTCTTAAAACCTTAGTTTCTTCCAGGCATCTCTTCGATGGGAGGGGGGGGGGGAGAAAGCCCCTCGCCACCCCCCCCCCCACCCCCAAAGAAAGTCTATCGCCCCCTCTCTCCCCCCCCCCCCCCCCCCCCCCCGAATGAAATGGAATTTATGTAGAAAATATATACTTTTACCAATACCTCCCCCCCCCCCCGTAAATATTTAGTACCCCCCCCCAAAAAAAGTCTGAAAGAAACACTGCTTAGTGACCTACGTGGCGCCAGTAGCGCCGGCGCCGGCTGTATCTAGGGAAAGGAAGGAAAACACAACTTATGCTGAAATATTTCGTTCACTGCTGCTACAATATTCTACTTCCTTGCGATTATTGAAAAAACAAGAAATAGAAACCAACCACACATAAAAACAACACCGCTGTTAATCTATGCTCCCCCCAGCCACCCCCAACCCTTCTTGGTAAATTAAAAATCTGGCTAACGTGGCAAGGCTGTAGATGTTGTTTTAATTAAAATTAGCTCCGGTAGATATAGCACGGTTACGGTGTCCACGTATTTTTGACACCATTATATTTATTTACATTCATATGTTCATTTTAAACATGAATCTGGCAACTTGGGCACAACCGTCCGTTTTTTTTTTTTTTTTTTAATTGCTTTCAAATCTGTCTTTTGATACACCACTTGTACGGTGTCAACATGTTTTTGTCATCAAGACACACATACATGTTTTTCTCTCGAGCTGGTTGGTAAAATAATTCTATTTGTTTCAGAGACGTGGAGCGGTCTCGTATGAGAGCAATGACAACAATGCCATCTATATACGGATGTTGGGTAAGTCACACACGGCTTGTTTCTTTTTTTGTGTGTGTTGACTCTTATCATTGTATCGCGTTTACATTTGCGACATGTATACAGTACATTTCTAGAAAAAAAATATCTCCCAACAAGTTAATGTTATTTGAAAATATTTTTATTTTTTTTAGAATTTTTTTCTAGTCTAATATAATATACATGTTGCAAGTGTAAACGCGGTTATGAATGAAGCTTGTGATAGTAAATGTAGTATTTTCATTTACTAAGTGGGGGTGGCGATTTGCGCGTCAGATCATTTACAGATGGTTTATCCTGGTCACAATGAAACCTTTCCAAACATCCCTCTACCCCCACCCCTATTTCCAAGACATTCTGTTTGAAATTTTGGTAAAAACACTGGCAGTTTGTAAAGAGGCTTTTTGTTTTTACTTATATATCTATAACAATTCGATTCTGTTTTGTCATAATTTAACTAGAACCAAAGTTGTTTAAAACTTTTTTTAAATCCGGCAAAATGTAAAAAAAAAAAAAATGGGTAAGAATAGATTTATTTCACATTTCTTGTTCAAGTTTGTTAACCTCACTAAGACATCACCTACTTGACACTATGGGAAGTTTTAACTGACCGCTCGTTTTGCATTTCATAATAATTAAAAGCACTGGTACCAGAGTTTCTTCCAGGCATCTCTACCGCCCCCCCCCCCCCCCTCGAAAATTTCAAGTGCCCCCCCCCCCCCCCCGGAGAAAAAAGTCTGAAAAAAACACTGACTGGTACAACAGTTCTATGCACGTATACAGTCTGCATCAAACATACAACTAACCAAAAGTGTTTCGAATCAGAGAATTCCTCTATCCAAGCATTGGTTAATATGTTCAGATGATTTTTTACCCACTTGGTCTCTTTAAGCCATCGCCATTTCACCCCTCCCCTCCCCCCCCCCCCCAATTATGTGTGACACGTTTAGCAACACGGACCTTGTGATAACTACTTGCAATAATGTACCACATTTTGTGATACCTTTGGCAACACGGACACCCATGAGATACCTACTACACTAGCGACAGTGTACCACCTTATGTGATACCTTTGCAGAGTTTCTTTCAGGCATCTCTTCGAACAACATCTACCGCCCCCACCCCCCGAACGAAATACAATTTATATAGAAAATATATACTTTTACCAGTACCCCCCCCCCCCCCCCAGAAAATTTCAAGTGCCCCCCACCCCGGAGAAAAAAGTCTGAAAGAAACACTGCACCTTTATCAACATGGACACCCTATGTGGCTAGCGCTAGTGTACCAGCTGTCAGCTAAACGCGCGATGTGACAGGTTTCTACATCCCATCAGTGACTTCTATAAGTGTTCGCATCTGTTTCCTGTACACAACTCGATTAACGGATGTTGTGTTTTTTTTCTGCATGGAGTGACACTTGCTTCAAACAGACGCGTTTTTCGCTTCATATCTAATTCATATGTGTATTAGTGTGTGAGTGCGTTCATATATATGCGTGTGTGTGTATCGAATTTTTCGGGGTAAAAGCTGAATATCAAATTTTTTCCAGTTTTATAATAAAGAATTAGGGATATGACAGTCCTAAAAAAAATAAAACACGGCGTATATAACGACCCCCACTTTGAGATAATTGATTGTCCTTGATTAAAAATTAGCCTTATCTTAAGTTATGTGCCTGAAAATAGTATATATATTTATATAATTATATATATATATATATATATATATATATATATATATATATATATATATATATATATATATATATATATATATATATATATATATATATATATATATATATATAGCCACACACACACGGTATATATAAGCTTCCGGTACATATGGAGAGATCTTCGATCTTCTATTCTAAGTGACAAGAGTCGTCCACTCGAATGGACAGTAAATGACAATCTGCCACACTCAGGCCGTGTAGCACCAGTCTCCAGCAGAACTTGTCCTCACACGATCGTGTGTCGTCTGACAATAATGACGTATTAGCCTTACTGAAGAATAAATGAAGTAACGTCAAGATTTTTTTTTCCCAGGGCCAATTACTTCCCCTTGATGGTGGGGGAGAGTGGGTAGGGGGGGGGGGTTGCTTGAATGGAAGGAAATAATCCAAGTACCGTAGCAAGAAGCTGACGTATACGTGTCACCAATATCTCCATCCCACACGACTTACCTCGATTGGCCAGCTGGGCCGATTGCGTCATCGCTGCTGTGACCCGGAAACGCTGGATCAATACGATGTGGAGTGGTGGTTTTGTGAGGGGGGCCGTACGCTGATGGACGACAAAATAATAGCGTTTTGCGGCTGTGGGAATTTTTTTTTTTTTTTCAAAAATAAATCTCAGTTCCCAAATTAATCGTTTCTTATGTACGCGGCCTATATTTGCAGTTAACTCACACGTTGATGTTTTTTTTTTTAAATTTCCGTTTCCCTTATATAAGGAATTATGTTTTTGTATGACATTGTTGTATGTTACTAGTGGCGCTGTCAAGCGTAGAAACGCGATGCTTCTGTCACTTGAATCGTTGGCAATCATCTCCTTCATTATTTTTATCGTTCACTTGGCTGTGTCCCGCTGTCAGGGTAATTACTGGCTACAGCGGGATGTAACGGGCAACTCACTAGCAGAGTCCAGGGCATATACTGTTGTTTGTTTCAATGGAGGCTAAGGTAGTCGTATGGGGAGCTGGAGTGCAAAGGTGGTTTACGTTGGTGATGATGTACAAAAGTGGTTTATGTGGGGACTGGAGTGCAAAGGTGGTTTATGTGGAGCTGATTTACAAAAGTGGTTTACGTGGGTGATGATGTACAAAGGTGGTTTACGTGGGAGATGGTGTACAAAGGTGGTTTATGTGGGAGATGGTGTACAAAGGTGGTTTATGTGGGAGATGGTGTACAAAGGTGGTTTATGTGGGAGATGGTGTACAAAGGTGGTTTGTGTGGGAGATGGTGTACAAAGGTGGTTTATGTGGGAGATGGTGTACAAAGGTGGTTTGTGTGGGAGATGGTGTATAAAGGTGGTTTGTGTGGAAGATGATGTATAAAAATGGTTTATTTGAGAGTTGGTGTACAAATGTGGTTTATGTGGAATAGGTGTAATAGGTGTATAATCATGGTTCATATGGGAGCTGGTATATAACGGTGATTTTTGTGGAAAAAGATAGATCCATTGATAATCAAGAACATGACTTTTCTTTCCTTACCTCCTCTGCACCCGGCAGTTAATGGAGCTTAAAGTAAGAACTAAAAATAACCTTTGCATTAGCCTGAATCATTCTTCAACTTTCAGGTGATACACATGGCAGCCCTGCTGTTGTTGACAGTGGACAGTGTACTAGTGATTTAGATCAACAAATGCTAGAATGTAAGTCTGTTTTTTTTCTTACAACAAATGGGACAACACAAGACTAGTATCAATTAACTCAATTCACTTAGCTATACACATCTGTTACTGAATCTTGTTCAAATAGAACATTCAGACTTGACTATGACATGCCTTTTGATCATTGCCAGCTGTCCTGGCATGACATAGCTTTGATCTCATAGCTGTCGTTAGACCACATTTTCATGTATGCCATATCATCTACTTGATTTAATAGTACTTTTTGCCTGTGTCCTGAAGTATACATACATTTTTTTTCCAAACCCAGCTTTAAAAATAACTGGACGTAAGCTGAGTTATCGTTCTCGATGCATGAGTTTATGTCGGCCTAACAGACGGTTTCACAAAAATCTTCCTTCTGATGTTTGTGCTTCTTCCAATAGTGTAAGTTTAAAATTTTTGGCTAACTTTAAAGTTTAGTTGGTTTAATTTAGAAAAACTTGATCTGGATAATGAGCTTAATTCTTAGAGTACATGATAATAATTAAAATAAGCTTTATTTGTATGAGTTAAATTGACGAAATTAATTTACTTAAGTGCTTTTCACTTTATTATAATTTATGAAAAATTTCTTTTAAAATTAATCTGTCTTTAAGAGTGTGGATGTGTATACATCATATTTACCAGCTTCGTAATAGTGAATAACATTTAATGTTATTTTTTAAATTCCTTTCTTATGTTTATTTGATTTTCTTAAACTTGCAGAAACTCTTAGCAAACATTGGAACATGGAACTTTAACATATTTACATTTGATATTCTTTCATCTGGTGTGTACATTTCTATTCACTTTATTCTAATAGTTCTTTTATAGTGTATGATTTATAGTGAAGCTATTTGGATTTTAATCATTAAATGCTCATTAATTAGGTTTTCTTGAGCAATTATGTGATATAATTTCTGTATAAAATACAATACAAACTAAACTAAATGAAGATTTTAATCAAGCCACTTATGTGATTAGATGTTACAATCTTTGCAGTGGATGTATGATGCTATGATCCTGTATAAGAAATTTTTCATCACTAATCATTGGCTGTTGTCATATGTTACTGTTTTATAAACCTTAACAAAAGACCTTATCTTTAAACAGGTCGACCTCTGTTCCAGGTTGCCTATCACTTGTTTGAAACATACCATTTTATCAGCCACTTCCAGCTTGATGTTCTTCGTCTCATACACTTTTTATGTAAGTATTCCAGGTCCTTCTTTGTTATATCCTACATCCACTTTTTATGTAAGTATTCCATGCCCTCCATTTTTATATCCTACATCCACTTTTTATGTAAGTATTCCATGTCCTTCATTGTTATATCCTACATCCACTTTTTATGTAAGTATTCCATGCCCTCCATTGTTATATCCTACATCCACTTTTTATGTAAGTATTCCATGTCCTTCATTGTTATATCCTACATCCACTTTTTATGTAAGTTCTCAGTCCTTCATTCTTATATCCTACATCCACTTTTTATGTACGTATTCCATGTCCTTTGTTGTTATATTCTACATCAACTTTCTATGTAAGTATTCCATGTCCTTCATTGTTATATTCTACATCCACTTTTTATGTACATATTCCATTGCCTTCATTGATTTATCATACATCCACTTTTTGTGTAAGTATTCCATGTCCTTCATTCTTATTTCCTACATCCACTTTTTATGTAAGTATTCCACGTCCTTCATTGTTCAGTTATATTCTACCCCAATATCTTTCACCTGTGTTTTACCATTGAACTTGTACCATTTCAAACAAGAACCAATTGCTGTGTCCCCAGCTCTTGTAGAAGACAACTACCATGAAAGCAATCCCTATCATAATGCTGTCCATGCTGCTGATGTCACCCAGTCTATGCATTGTTATCTACAGGAAAAAGAGGTTTGTGATAAGATGCTAAAACTTTTCTGATGTTACACTGCACAAAATACTATTCTATCTGTAGTTTCTAAATGAGAATCTCTCTCTTCACCACTATACATTTTACTGCACAAAGTATTTTACAATCTGTATAATTTCTAAATGAGAATCTCACTCTTCACTACTATATATTTTACCACAGAAAGTATTTTACTATCTGTATAATTTCTAAATGAGTATATCTCTCTTCACCACAATAGATTTTACTGCAGAAAGTATTTTACAGTCTTTATAATTTCTAAATGAGTATATCTCCATCCCCACCACTATATTTTTACTGCAGAGAGTATTTTACTAGCTGTATAATTTCTAAATGAGTATATCTCTCTTCACCACAATAGAGTTTACTGCAGAAAGTATTTTACAGTCTGTATAAGTTCTAAATGAGTATATCTCCATCCCCACCACTATATTTTTACTGCAGAGAGTATTTTACTAGCTGTATAATTTCTAAATGAGTATATCTCTCTTCACCACTATAAATTTTACCACAGAAAGTATTTTACTAGCTGTATAATTTCTAAATGAGTATATCTCTCTTCACCACTATATATTTTACCGCAGAAAGTATTTTACATTCTGTATAATTTCTAAATGAGTATATCTCCATCCCCACCACTATATTTTTACTGCAGAAAGTATTTTACAGTCTGTATAATTTCTAAATGAGAATCTCTGTATCCCCACCTTTAGATATTTCACTCAACGACTCACCTGGAAAAAATGTCTGCTCTTGTTGCTGCTCTGACCCATGACCTTGACCACCCAGGTGTCAACAATACATTTCTTATAGCCACCTCCAACCATCTGGCCACATTATATCAGGTATTGTATCCTTAATACATTTTAGAAAAACTGTGTGTCATGTGACATGGTTAGATATTGCCTCATTATTCAATAAAAAAAAAAATTTTAAAATTGTCTTTATCCTAGTTTTTCATCTTTTCTTTTCTTGACCACTTTACTCTTTTAATTTTATCATCTGATTTATTATTTAATTTTGTCATCTGATTTATTATCTAGTTTTGTCATCTGATTTATCATCTAATTTTATCATCCAATTCATCATCTAATTTTATCATCTGATTCATCATCTAATTTTATCATCTGATTTATCATCTGATTCATCATCTAATTTTATCATCTGATTTATCATCTAATTTTATCATGTGATTTCTCTCATCAGAATAGTTCAGTGTTAGAAAATCACCATTGGAGGTCGGCAGCTGCTCTGCTCAAGGAGACGGGTCTACTATCACATTTATCATCTGAACAAAGGTACCAGGTTCTATCACATTTATCATCTGAACAAAGGTACCAGGTTCTATCACATTTATCATCTGAACAAAGGTACCAGGTTCTATCACATTTATCATCTGAACAAAGGTACCAGGTTCTATCACATTTATCATCTGAACAAAGGTACCAGGTTCTATCACATTTATCATCTGAACAAAGGTACCAGGTTCTATCACATTTATCATCTGAACAAAGGTACCAGGTTCTATCACATTTATCATCTGAACAAAGGTACCAGGTTCTATCACATTTATCATCTGAACAAAGGTACCAGGTTCTATCACATTTATCACCTGAACAAAGGTACCAGGTTCTATCACATTTATCACCTGAACAAAGGTACCAGGTTCTATCACATTTATCACCTGAACAAAGGTACCAGGTTCTATCACATTTATCATCTGAACAAAGGTACCTGGTTCTATCACATTTATCATCTGAACAAAGGTACCAGGTTCTATCACATTTATCATCTGAACAAAGGTACCAGGTTCTATCACATTTATCATCTGAACAAAGGTACCAGGTTCTATCACATTTATCATCTGAACAAAGGTACCAGGTTCTATCACATTTATCATCTGAACAAAGGTACCAGGTTCTATCACATTTCATGCTGTAGCATTACAAGGCAGGAGTAAAATAGTGACAATATTTGGGTACTATAAACACTAATACAGACCCGTGAATTGGAAAACAGAAAAAATATTAAAGATAATCAAGCTTGGTCAAGGAGATTTTTGTTTAAATATTTAAATTAATGGAAATTCACAAAGTTGAAAACAACTTGATAAAACTGACCAAGACGTGAAAACTAATTTTAAAAATTGCTTTTTTTTCCCCTGCATTTTAAGGTGCTGACACCATCTTGTAAAGGGTGACACCTATATAGTAATAGATTACATCAATGGGGTGGGGTGGGATGACACCCTAGGAAACCAGATGTCACCTGACATAGTGCCACTGATTTCTTGTATAGCTTAACACACATAACCACATTTTCTTTATATTTTACTTTACATGTTTTTACTTGACTCATAGTTTTTTTTAATTTACATATTTATAGTTGATTTATGAGCTTTGCAAATAATTTATTTTATATATTGCATTGTTTTATTTTAACAGCCGATATGTAAAGAAGGTCTATATTTTTTTTTAATTAACAGAAAAGTTAAAACATTAATGCTAAAACCTTTACTAACTCATACAGTAGTAAAAAAACTAACCATAGTATTAATACACAGATGTAGCCAAAAAAATATACAAACTAACCATCATATTTATTTTAAAAGCAACTGTAAAATTTATGCTCATATATAACTAACCACAATATTCATTTTAAAATACTAACTGTAGAATTTAAGCTTAAAAACTAACCTCAATATTCATTCAAACTAAATATTCCTGTTAAAAACTAAATGTAGAATTTATGTTAAAACTAACAAAAATATTAGGCCTAGATGTTGATAATATATCATTGTTATTAAAACTAACTGATGCATATTTCTGAAAACATTTTCACTTTTGTTACCAGATTAAAATGGTTTTGTAAATTAATTGTTTTATTTTATTACTTAACTAATTGTTTTACTATGTTGATATCTTTGAATTGTAATTTTTGAAACTTCTCTCATCCAGTCATTGTTTCCTTCAACAAGTGAAAATGTTAATCTTAGCCACAGATATAACAAGGCAGCAAGAATTTGTGCTCAAATTTTCAGTAAGTTTTTGTTATCCAATTTGTCAATTGCTAGATCCTTTTTTTTTTAATTTAAAACCTTACTTACACTATACATTTACCCACCTGATAGTTCCTGACAATTGGCTCCTCCAAAAATAAGTGTGTTAGGTTGTAATTATTAGAGTAATATCAGGTCTATTGTTAATACCGGAATTTGGACTTGGGTTAAGGTTTGGGATACAGTTAATGTTGCCATCATTAAGTAAGTTATTTGAGCTTATGATTTACTACCACAGTAACCTAACACACTTAATTAATAAGATTCTTTTATTTTGGCATAATCAGACACAGGCATAAATTGTAAATTAACCAACCTGATATCAGAATTGATTTTCAATAATTTGCCATTAGTTCATGGCTTAACATTGACAGCATCCATCTGCCAACTTCTCCATGCTGAAATGCTTGTAAAATAGTCATTATAAAAAGTTTAGTTTTATTTTTGTTAGTAACACTAGAGTCAAAATAAATCTAGAATTTCACACTGGATTTCTGATGGGAAAAATAATTCACCTTATGAAAGTAGTTTGAATTATTAAATGTTAAAATGTTTTTTGTACAATAATATTTTTGCATTGTTTCAGAATTACATTGAGAAGGGAGAATTACACTACAAACAAAATGTTCAACACAGACATTTTATGCTACAGGTACTCAATTTTGTTGTACTCTCTAATGTCAAAATAAATCAGTGATTGTTTTTTTTTTGTATATATAGGTTGTAAAATATGAAGAGAAAATTTTAAAATAAGTTTGATAGAATAATTTCATGGATCTGGTTAAGTATGTTGTAAAAATGTGATTAAATAATAATTATGTACTTGTCATGTATACTATGTCAGATGGCGCTGAAGTGTGCTGACATCTCAAATCCATGCAGACCATGGGAGATAAGCCAGAGGTGGAGTAGGAAGATTTGTCAGGAGTTTTTCTTACAAGGTAATCCCATAAACCTTATTCTTGTTTACTTTTTTTTTTAACAGCAAAGGTAATTATTTAAATAAACTGGTTTTTAGAAATTCTTAACCTTAGTCTTATGAGAGGCTCACAAATGTATTTTAGGTGATACAGAAAGAGCTTTGAATGTGGATGTGACACCAGTTTGTGATCGCTATGGTAACACTGTACCTAACATACAACATGGTAAGTGTTAAGTTTTTTAATTTCATAAATTTAGTTCTGATTTGGACAGGAACTGATGAATTATATTTACCATAGGCTGGATCAGATGTAACTTATTTTATAGAAGCAAAATATTTGTTTTAATTTAGATAGGGATTTTCATAGTTGATAGCAAATTAATTATAAATTTTTTAAATCTCCATTTTGCAGGGTTTATGCAGTTTGTTGTTAGCCCATTGTTTAAAGTGTGGGACAAATTTCTTGGCACAGAGCTCTCAGCACTGATGCTTCATCACCTCAGCCACAACCAGGCCCAGTGGAAGGCCAAGATTGACGCCGGGGACTCTGATACAGAAGATGCTGATCTGCCAGACTTAGCTGCCCTTAAGTTTGCTCAGGAGAAGGTGCAGAAGACTTGCCCGGTGTCCATTGAGCTGAGCCATGAGGAGGATTACGATGGGATCAGTGAGGAGGATGACGTGGTGGAGAACACAGTCAACCTGATGTACCACTACCAGCCAGAGGACACGCTCCGCTGCTTCTCTCCCCTCATCCAGGACACCCACCTTGAACCATCCAACAGGAGGTTCAGTCTTCCTTACGTCCGCAAGGATTTAAGCTTCTACCTCGGGCTCAACAAAGAGACGGGCAACATCAAAGATGAACTACTCCGGCGCCAGAGTCTTCCAACAGCCAGCTTGTACTTTGACGGGAACTGCATAGTGGTCAACGCCAGCCCTCGCAGTCTCTCCATGGACGCCCTGTTCTCCCGGCCCAAAATCAGCAACCTCAGCCCCAACATGGAAGCAAGTTTCCTGTGTCTGCCCCTGTTCACGTCCCTCCAGAAGCAGACGTTGATGCTGCAGGGCGGTTCTTTCACCCGGTTCACCTCCAACCCGTCCTCCCGGCGCGAGAGCTACGACCAGACCAAGCTGACCGCCAACACATACAGCTCTGACTTAAAGCCTGACGCTAATGAGTTCCATGTGGGGCTTGCCTCCAGCTGGCCAGTGATAACAAGCAAAGGCCCCAGGTCCTCGTCACCCAGTCACCTCCAGCAGTCCGATGTTGCCAGTAGTATAATTATAACTCATCACCTCAACGCTCCTCAGTGCTGACCACTCATGTACCTGTATTGAGCCAAGGTACCACTGGTCTAACCTTCTGTTCACTTGTATCAGTCAAGAATTGAACTACGATCTCATTCACTATTGATGATCTCACCAGTAATGATCACAAACAATACATTGTTGATGATGGGGAATGTTATCAAATATTTTTACTGTTAAGAACTACTTGACTGCAATTAGTTCAACTTGGTCCAGTCTATTTTTTCTGAGAGCTTTTACAGCGCTGAAGCTTTACAAGAAAACAGGTGGTCTCAATGTCTGGTGGAGGGAAAAATGTGACCATTCTGGCCAGTAATTGTCTTATGTAACTTACCTAAGGTAATTTTAGGTCACCTGGGTTGACCGAATTGGTCATGTAAAACAAAAGGTGCAGAAACTCACTACCACAGAATATTGATCCAAGATTTCAGGTAATGATCGCAAAAATCCAGTATTGAACTAAGCTCTTATATGATGATCACAACTATGATCTTTAGCAGTGATCACACAATCAAGTATTGATTTATGATCTCCATCTATGATCACTGATCTCTTGCATATGATCCAAGCTACTTTGTCTTTCATTAGCAAAGTTTAGAAATTAATATAATTTGCATAATTATCTGTAAAGAAAAGATTTTTTTAAATTCCAGAATTAACAGTCCTGCAAATATTAGATTGATAGCAAAATAAACAACTGAATATATTTTTTTACCTACTTAAGACAGTGTTTCTTAGCCGTGTTGGGGTGCGGAACCCCACCAGTTTCATATGCGCATTCACCAAACTTCTCTTAATAGTTATATCATCCACACTGACAAAATCCTATAGTGAATCATAAGAGTTTGGTGTGTGTAGTGACCTCCGCCGAACCCCTGGGGTTTGATTTAACCCAGGTTAAGAACCACTGACTTAAGGCACTGTGTAACAACACTACTTAAAGTAGTTGCGCTGTATAAACAAGGGATGGTGTTAGATACTCAAACACAGAGGTTCATCCAGTACTCTGCTGTGTAATTAAAACACTATGGTCAAGCTTTCAGTTGTGATGGTTTTTTTATTTTGTTACAATGAGCAAGTTCCAAAATTATTTTTAATTTTATGTATTTATGTACATACTATAATCCATTGTTTTATTTATATATATATATATATATATATATATATAAATATGTCATCATACTCATTTCAACCTGCTTTGTCACTTTTGGTGGTTTTTGAGTTAAGGAGTTTTAAAAAGCATAGCTCACAATATCTTCTATATTTTGAAACAAATTCATTAACTAATTAGAAAACAGGTTTGTTAAAATTTATTTTAGAAATGACATACAATAATTGTATGCTTATCTAAATTAATTTCCATTATAGGACACAAATTATTTGTAATACCGTTTTTACACTTGCGACTTATATTTATATAATATATTTGTCCAGGAAAAAAAGTGCATGTTACATGAAACCTTTTTCTCCATGGATCATATATCCCAAGTTGCTGTGAGGTTTTTTCTAGACATGTGTAGTATACATATCATAAGTGTAAATGTGGTACAAGACAACAGATGTCATGTCCCATGTGCAAAAGCATTATTCAACAAGACAACATTCGCCTATTTCAGAACCTGAGTGTTCTTACTCTGTATGTATGGCATGCCTGGTGTACAAAATCTTTGATCTCAAACACTTCTTCCAAAAGCTTCTTCTGCTGTTTTAACTGTATTATATTTTATTACTTTGCTCTGCTAAACAGTATTGAATTTTTATTTAACTTTCAGTTTACCTGTTAAAGGATCATATTTTATTTAATCACTAATCCATGAATGGTTGGGGGGTGTATGACTGGTGTAACATACTTTTTTTAATATTAAAAATGTATGATAGCTATTGTAACTATCTAGTCCTATTAACAGAATCCAATGGTTTCTATGGCTTAAAATCACTAATCCATCTGTTGTGTATGAAGCATCAATATGTACTTAAATGACCCATGTTTTATTAGCAGTCAGGGATGTGTTTATATTGTCCTTTAAAATTATTTGTACAAGTGGTCATGCTCAAGCTGTACTGGCATAATAATATAAACATTGTCATCTAAATGCATGTTACTGTTATTTAAACATTTTGATGTACAGGCTGTCTTTAATTTATTGATAAATTAAATATTTACAAGAATTCTTCTGATTTTAGACTCAACTTTTTGTTCCTGTCTGGTCAGTAATAATACAAGCATCTAGTCTGTAACTATTATTGTCATGGATGAAATTTGCCACTAGTACCATAAACACTAAAACATCCACTCAATAAAAGTATTAAAAGCAGTAAAAAGAAAACAGTAGTTTAATGCAATAACAGTATACAAAGTCTCTGTAAAATTTAGCTGCTATTGCGACATCACTGATCATAAAGTGATTTTTGTAACACAACATTCATCCTTCAAATGATCAAGACAGAGTAATTCTTTATACACATAACAGTAGTCACTACTGTAACCTGTAAACAACCATCCAGTCAGTAAAATGCTATCTACACTAATAATAATAATCTTTCTGATAAGTAAAATACAAGGTTCACTGAGAACTTCAGGAATGGATATAACTATTTACGGATACAGAAAGTAATGAGAAAATGCTTGACATGGTGTATGATCAGAGAAAAACTTGTATTAGAAAATATTAGACCTGAAGTTAATATGACAATCCAGATAAGGCCATTTGTTGTGAATGTAGAGTATTAATGTAGGAAAAAAACACAAAATGAAATTCTAAGTCTACTTACCTCTAATTAAGAGCAGTTTGTAAGATATACACAAATCAAATACTCAGTGGGAGAGTACACAATTTTAACCAATTACAATGGTAGTTCTTTAAAAAACATATACTTGACCCTTAAAATATCATGGCCACAGCAAATTACTCTTAACATACTACCTCAGAAGATACACTATATATAGATGTGTACATGGTTCACATATTAGAAATTCAAGGCTTAAAATTATAGAGATGATGTAGGTTGTAAACCTACAATCAAAACAACTATAGCTTCATCAATTTTATAGGTAAAAACTTAAATAAAATTAATAAAAATCAGCTGATAATGCCTAATTATCAGAGTCATCACACAACATGTTAAGTCTTCTCTTGGCATCTTTCACATTTTTGCCATACTGAAAATACAAAAGGTTAAAAAAAACTTCAAATCAAAGCATTATACAGTTAAGAAATATGCTTCTAAAATTGTTATATTTAAAAATCTGGGCATTGGCTACAACTAATTTAACAATGCTCCTAACTTGTCTGTTAACAATGCTCCTAACTTGTCTGTTAACAATGCTCCTAACTTGTCCGTTAACAATGCTCCTAATTTATCTGTTAACAATACTCAGAATTTGTCACAAACATTGTTAAGTATTAACATAACTGGTGCATACATACCGGACTGTTGCTATCAGAAAAAAAGGAACTGCTGTCATTTTCATGGTCAGAATCTGGACTCATCCCCCTGTGGTTGGCAAATTTCTTTTTCAAGGCCTGAGCTATAATGGCAGCAGGGTCAGAGGCTTGAGACAAAGGTTTCCTCCTCATTGGGGTTCCTCCAGGTGATCTGCACATTTTAGTTAGCACAATTTTTTAAGCTTGACATGGTAAAACAAGTGGTAACTGCCATTGCATGGAGTTGCAACCACATTGAATGATATTTGCTGTGTATCATGTTTAATACAATTTTACTGTTTTTAATTACTACATAAAAGGTTTCTTTTTTATTTATATTCTAAAAAACTAAGAATTAATGATAATAAATCAAATACAATACTTAATTTTTTTAGTTTCAATTTCAAAAAGTTAAGTTCTTAAAGTTGATTACAAGAGACATTTTTTGTTACCTCTGTACTGCTTTCAGCTTGACATTACTCAGATCTTTCAAAACATGAACTAAATCTGGACAACTGGCTCTTGTAAATTCTACTTTAGTTTTCTGATAGTTTAACTGGAACAATAAATAAAAATATAATTAATAGCAGATAGCAATGTAAGTATCAATATGAGAGTAGACAGTTAACCAAAACAATTTTACCTTCGTGTTTATCCACATACATTAAAAAATTAAAGAAAAAGTAATGTACATTAAAACAGACTCAGTTTATTTTGAGTCTAAAAATCTTAAAAATGCAAAGGGTAAATCAAAATATTAAACCTAAAATAATTAGAAACAGCTTCACTATTATTTAAATTTTAAAAATTAGTAAGCCAAAAAAAAATTCAACATGGTCAATGGAGTTACTTTCTTTTTCTTTACATTATTTAATAAAAGCCAGATTTCAGAGAAGAAGCATTTTAATTGGTTTTATTTTAGCTATTAATACTGCCTGTAATCTTTAAAAAAAATCACTAGTAAAAAATTTGCAGAAAAATAACCGTCAGTGACAGAACAAGAAAAAAATGAACAAAATATTACTTTCAGCATGTGCCAGTATCTTCAAAATCTTGTTAACAGCAAGATTTCAGTTACTACGCTGAATTAAATCTACTGGCACATCAGACCGTACCAAATGAGAAAAATCTCAAGCACACAGGTCAGCAAAGGGTAACTTTGAGAGGCGGTGGCTAGTATACTAAAAAAAATATATAGTGAGTGTAAATACCAACCTTTTGCGTGGCTAAAATGGGGGGTGGAGGGGGAGGAGCGACAAAAGTCTTGGGTGAATGACCAGGTTGAGCCTGGTCGCTGGTGGGTGATATGACAGTTGCTACATTCTCACTCTCACAGCCCGAGTCTTCCAGGGAGGAACATGAGTCACATGACGTGGGCAGATCTGTTTCCTTGTGAGCCATGTCCTGCTTCAATGTCACATCTTCTGGTGGAAAATATACATAGTTAGTTGGTGGACAGTGGGATGGAGGGGTCTAGCGGTAGAGAGCTGGACTGCTAACCCATAAGTCTCAAGTTTGAATCCGGTTTCAAGTCAGTAGACCGTCCCTGAGTCCACCCAACTCTGATGGGTACCTAACCCATGTCATGTTAGGGAAAGTAAAGGCGGCTGCGCATAGTGCTGACCACACTATCTCTTCATATGCCGAGGTCACAGAAACAAGTGAACTCTACTTCACTTGCCCCATAGACCGTCAGGTTTGAAAGGGAAACTTAGTTAATGGACAAAAGGCTGAAAGGTTCAGCAGCTTAACTCACAAATATAGCTGTCTGTACATGTTTATCCTTTTCTGGATAAATATTAGTTTAATAATGCTATTTATTCATTGACAAGTTTCTAAGTGTTTTCATGAGTATGAGTTCTTATGTTAGAATAGACTTCACCAACTATTAAGCTGCTCAGTAATAGCTATGCAAATTATTATTTCATTCAATTTTATTTTCCATATATTTATAAATATTAATCTTTTATATCTATGTCAAGCTTTGAAAATTACCATTAAATCAACTATTGTAGTTGTACAATTAAATACCTAAGCCTAAAGACAGTAAAAATAATAAAATTCAACTTTCTTTACCAGGACATAACATGTGATTAGAAAATGTTAAAGTTATTAAATAAAGAGTTATAAACACCTTCATTTTTCTGTGCTATAGAAGGCATCTCTTGAGCCATGACTAGCATTGCAATCTGTTTACGCAGTGTGGCGAGTTCCTCCTCCATTTCGGCCAGTTTACCATTGGCAATACCATCTTGGGAAGCAAAGCTCGCTGTCCTGGCCCCATGGCTGAATGAAGAAACATTGCAGTTTGGTGTTGATGTTAGATGCTCTTTATGCTTCAGTGAATCGAAATTTCCACCATCAAAAAGGTCATCATCATCATCTGCACCACCAAGCCTGATATGGAAAAAATATAAGAAATTTAATACCACCAAGTTGGATAGTCAAATGGTAGATCTTGTAAGCCTATATATTTTGATGTAGCAAACATTTTATATACAGAATATACAAAAAATGTCAACAATGTAGAGGCTTTTATAAAATTAAAACTTTAAAACTTTTCAATTAAATTATTTCAAACAGGCCTACTCTTTAAATCCACTTGTACACCATAAAATTTAGATTATATGCAGACTTATGGTTAGCTGGGAAGAATCCAGGTGTCCCACCAGGAATATAGGTCTGTCTGTATGTGTATCAAACTTAGCCTCACAGACACAGGGAAAGAGAGATTGTGTATAGTAGTAATGTCAAGCATTCAAAGGTTGAAGTTTCTTACCTAAACCTAACAATGTTCTCTCCCAAATCTTCTTGCACTAAATCATTGACACTTGAATAAGAAAATGCAGAATACAAGCTGGCACAGCTCCCCCATCTCTCAAATTCTGTGGTCCCAAGCTTTGTCTGGAAAATACACACAAAAAACAATGATGACCTCTACTCTTGTTTACCAATACTTTCTTTCATAGTATAAACAAAAGAATTTAAGAGAATAAAAATAAAAATAATGCAATTGGATAATTTGAGCAACCTGAAGTTTGAGCCGCGGGTCTCTTGGCCTCGGCAGGAAAACTGAGATCCATCTGACAAGGGTTTTACTATTCAAAGGTCTGTGATTGTTCTCTTCCAGTCTGTGACACTTCGACCATAACAAAAAGTGTGACAATAACTTAATATAGATTACAAGTTTATATTCAAAAAGCAAATAGGAAAGTCTAGTAGGACAAATGCTATAGGCAAAAATTTGTATTTTAAAATAAAAATTTTGGTTAAATCATTAACTACTTTTACTGTAGTCATTACTTAAATAAAACAGATGAAAATGCATGGGTACCACAACTTTACCACTACTTACCAAGCCAGTTAAAATGTGACCAAGTATATTGATAACTCTTCTCAAAAGAACCTCTAAATCCTCTATAATGTCAGACATGGTTCCTTGTATCTTGTACCTCTAATGTAGAAAACATTCATGCTCAGCCTCATACCACACTCACATACTGAAACAAAAAATGAAGAATATTATGAAGAGTAACATGGTGTTTTAAATATCATACTGAGAAGCCTTGTTCATAAAGTTAAGTCATATCATCAAGACAAGAGGAGATCTAGTAAAAGTAAAAAGTGGAAATGTAGCTTGTCTGACTTCTAGACTAGTTTAGATTTTGTTTTTTTAGTTCAGTTAGGTCTTCTACTTCTTACTCTTTACTCTAGATCTAGTAGAATCTAGATCTAGAATTTAGACTAGATTTTATTTTTAAACTAGCAGACTCTTTTGACTTAAACTTTAAGCCTAGAAAACTCTAGATAAGGCCTGGATTAAAAATGTATTAAAATTCTAAAGAGAGGAGAATTTCTAAATGTCCTCTCTCCCATGATCGCCAGCTCATGTTTTCTTCAATAAAAAGGCAATATTGGTATAACAGTCAATAGGCTCACTTTTTTTGTGAAAATATTAAATAGGCCTATGTATTTATGTAATGTAGGATGGGGGTATAATTTTAAATTTTAATAGGCCTACACTACAGGACAAAAATTCACTTGACATGGCGGATGGCGTTTTCGCAGTCTTCACACATATTACCGCCTTCTTGCCATTTCACATCTTGCATTTTATGATTTTACCAAACTTCTACTAGACTCTAGATCTAGATAGTTGCATTTGATTGTCAGGAATTGAGTATTGACTATTGACTGAGTAATGTATCTTTCAGTGGGTCAGGCCACAAACCACGTACACTGTCGTACACACTTGACTTACACTAGACATCTAGATCTAGATCTAGTACAACACACACACAGTACACAAGTAGTGTGACTGACAAAATGAAAATAACACAAGTCCACTGGCCGACTAGCTTGTTAAAGATAAATTCTAAAAAATCTAGGCCTATATCTCTAGAATCTAGATCTATTTAATATTTATCTATTGTTTTATCGGTGTATTCTAACCTTAGTTAAACAATATTCCAATAAACCAGAACTTAATGCATTGTATTATTAGAAAAAAGATTAAGTTTAAGCTACATGGCTGTCGCCATATTTATTTATACTTTAAAATTCCCTCCCCGTGCTATACCGCACAGAATGCTAAATCTAATTTTATCCAAAGCTAGGCCTAGTCTCAAGGGGAAAATAATTCAAAATACTGTTAGCTAAGGCTAGGTTAAACGAGGCGAGAACTACTTCTGTCAAATCTTTAAATTACATACGTCTCATAAATATTTAATTAACTATTTATTCGAAATTTTCAGCATTAGGGGGCCTAAGTGATTTTTAAATATTTTTAAAAATATGTTTGATGGTGGCCTAACTATGTAGAAATCTAGTAGATCTCTACCTCGGTTAACGAACCAACCCGTTTTGGCATTATTTGTCAACGTGCGCATATCTTTTATATGCTTTCATTTTTAAGCGACTCAATCCTGTGCATGTTATGTTAACTGAACAAGTTAGGCATGTAAGGGTGTCAAATGAATAGATGCAGGTCCTGATTTTGTAACCAGTGGGTTTTTTTTTCTAGGCATCTCTCCACGGAGGCCAATGACACTCATCCCTCCAACCGTGAGTGCGTCCACGCGAGTTGAGAAGAACCAGATGTTGACCAAGTATCAGGCTCCACTGTCTACACACTTTTGTGATGGGCCCAATGGAGATGCTTTCCTTACAGGCTACAATGTGGAATCAGATGTGTCGCATGAGCTGCTGAAAGAAAACCAGAGTTGGTAATCATATTGCATAAAGGGCTCCACTCCTGTTTGAATTTGAAGTCTCTCCCAGATGGCTTCAAATCCCCCAGCTAACGAACCTCATTAGCCCTGGGGTTCGAACTAGAGACTTTTGCGGGGTAACTGCAACCAGTGTTTCTTCCAGACTTTTTCTCCGGGAGGGGGGGGGGGCACTTGAAATTTCCGGGGGGGACACTGTTAAAAGTATATTATTTTCTATATATATATTCCATTTCGTTCGGGGATGGGGGGGGGGGGGGGCGGCGGCAGAGGAAGCCCCCCCCCCCTCCAACGAAGAGATACCTGGAAGAAACTCTGACTACTACGCGCTCGATCGCCCTCCTGACAACGCCAACAAGCTGGTTTATTTAATGCCTACAAAACACGTATATTCATCTGCGTCCCATATTTTCTTCAGCATTTTGGCATTCTTCCTTCTTGGCACAGATTTCCCATTTTGGTATGCCTGCACATGGTAGCTTCTTTAACATCTTCAACAATTATTACACTTGAATTATCTCCAGATGGTATGGCCGAGCGGTAGAGCGCTATACTGCTAACTCGAAAGTCTCGAGTTCACCCGTCTCTGATGAGTACCTGACTCACGTTAGGGAAACAAAGGCTACATGCTGGGTAGGGTGCTGACCACACTATCAAGCGGTATGCCGAGGTCATTGAAACAGATGAACTCTACTTGATCTACTTTATCGCGGTTTATATCTGTACGATTTACTGGGTCAGGCCGATTAAGGATTGTCTAGAGCTAGAAGTGTTGCCCCGATCTTTTCAATGGCCGGTTCTACTTGTATGAAAATGTCATTTTCAGATTGTACATTATTGCATTTCTTGGTTTGTTTCTTCCCCCGCCCGCCCCCAAGCCCACCCACACACACAGCTTATTTGGTGATATGGTATCACACCGCAGCAGTTTTCTTCTAAGTTTTCTAGGACAAAGTGCACCCTCTTGTCGTTTTTGTACAGATTTTTCATTGTACTATAGCTTAAAAAAAAATTCTAATTCTCTTTTTGTGTGATGATTTTATGACTAAAATTTTTCTTTTGGTCAGTTTTCTTTCCTCATTTTATTTCCACGGCTCAGGCGGATTTCCCTGTATCTGGCCAGATTTTGTTAAAACTGTCGACTGAGATAGATATATCATTCTGTAATACGTGAAACAGGTTTTTGAATAGTATAGAGAATTGTTTCATTGCATATGTGCTCTTCATAGTATCTTTGTGGTATTTACATTCAGTGGCGTCGCTAGGTCGGATGCCACCCCGGTCGTTAAAGGACTTATTAGTTATTATAAATACTCAACTAAACTTTTATTTCCTCTGTAAATTTAGCAGTTGGTGTCACCACCCCTCCCCCCCCCCCCCCCCCCATCGGGAAACAGCTTTAAATCGTGCAAAGTTTAAAGTCGCGATGCATATCCATTGTCGGTTTTTAATATAGCTAGATGTAGCATTGCGTTTTCTCTATAGTCAGCATGTTTACGTCATGGTGTCACCCCCCCCCCCCCCCAACTTGTCAGGATCGTCAATTTTGAAAGTACTTTTTAACTCTAAATAATGTTCACTTGAACTAGCAAAAAGCATTTTCTACTATATGTTTTTAACTTTTTTTTTGTCTTGGTGTCACCCCTCTAAATTGTGTCATCGGCGCCCCCCCCCTCTTCGCGACGCCTCTGTCTACATTGATACATAATTTCCTTTCCTGCGTAATTTAATTTCCAGTTTAACAACAACGATGTTATGGTCACTGTCTCTTTACCTGTAACTTACTACGTCCCTACATCTAGTAAATATTATTCCCATGGTATTTTAGGTGCTTTAAATTGGAAGTTGGTCCAAATATAGGCGGTTTGACTACAGCAGAGTTTCGACAATCGGCGGTTTGACCACAGCAGAGTTTCGACAATCGGCGGTTTGACCACAGTAGAGTTTCGACAATCGGCGGTTTGACTACAGCAGAGTTTCGACAATCGGCGGTTTGACCACAGCAATTTCGATAATCGGTGGTTTGACCACATCAGTTTCGACATATATATATATATATATATATATATATATATATATATATATATATATATATATATATATGTGTGTGTGTGTGTATGCATGTATGTATGTGTGTGTGACTGTATGTTTAGTCTAGTTAAAATTTGTCACTGATGATGATATGATCAACCTCACCTCGATGTCCTTATGCACGAATAATTCCCACAATTACTATTTTCCTCAGCCTTTTTATTTTTTGCTGTGTTTATACACCCCCCCCCTCTCACCTGTTTCATGGGGCGGACAGTAAAAAGGGGATGGGGAGTTTTGTATTTGTAATAGGCCTATAATCACGGTTTCTTTCAGGCATCTCTTGGGGGGGGGGGGGGGGATTTTTGCCTTCCCCCATCCCTCCCCTTGAAAATTCCAAGTGCCCCCCCCCCCCCCGGAGAAAAAGGTCTGCTGGAAGAATGTGTGTGTGTTTTTTTTGTCTATGCAAATGTACAATAAGTTTCAATAACAACGTCATATGAATTGGCATAATTGGTCCGAATGTTCTAATGCTTGTGTTATATGCAATAGGCTTATAATTATAATACGGGCATTTAACTAGATTCGTTCAAATTATAATCGCGTATCCCATGTGTTTTGCCACAATTAAATTAATTAGGCCTACATCAATGAAGATACGAGTGTTGTGAAAATATTGATTTTCGATTCAGGATAATTGTTGTTTGAGGATGTGGCATGTTGAGTAACGTCGTTTTAACGTGGTCTGGTTTCTGTGACGACAGTGGGAGGGGGGGGGGGGGGAAGTACAATCTCTTGGCGTCATTTATGAGCTAATACCGCCGTATGTCTACGCCGCTAGTTATGAAATAAACACAGATCTAGATCTAATAAAAATTTATTGTTTTGTGTGTTGTCATTTTAAGAAGGGTGCAGATGTCTGACATTTTGTGATAACTTTTTTTTGGTGACGATTTTGTTAGTTAATAAATGGACAAACATCGGATCGTTTCCCATCCCCTTTACGCCACTTTACGGCCTTTAGGCATGGCGTCTATAATATTAGATTGTTTTAAATGTTGGCAAACAAAAGAAGGGGTGACAGTATATTCTTTTAAACACTTTACGCATCATTAAAACAATTTTACTGGATAATAATTATATGATTCGGTCTCGAGGCTCGATCTATTCCCAATTTCTTGATCGATTGTAGATCTATGAGCAGGCAAGGTTTTTTTGTTTGGTGACAGGTAGACTACCTACATGAGACATGCTAGGCTACGCAGGTGAGAAACATCCTGGACTGGATATGAATCAACATGACGATTTTTATAGGTCTACTTTACTTAAAAATTGAGGCCTATCATTTATTATAATGCTCTGGATTTGCTAATAGGAGTGGCAGTCGGTGGACAAGATCTAGATCTCTAGAATCTAGTGTTTTGTTTGGAATGATTTTCAGCAGTATGAACCGTGGGCAGCTTCCAACACAGCCCGGGTGACCCAGCTCCGTTAATTTTGTGTCGATCGATATTACAATCACTGCGACACTGAAGGAAACAAGAGAAAATTGTCATCATCATGGCCGTCTGCTGTTTAAAACGTACTGTCAATATCAGTGCATTAATCTGTGTCTGGACCTTTCTACTTTTACACAATTTAAGTTTATCTGCTCCCCAGAATGGGAAAATTGTGGCTTTTTTTCAAGGTGGGTTTTTTTTCTAATAAATAAATAAATTGTATTGTAAATTCAGAAGTTTAAATTTAAAAATACAGTCTACACTACAACACTCTCTACACTAGACTACTGTAACTCTACACTACAGACTGACTGAGACAGTGTCAGTGTGAGTCTATTCGCCATTCGGTCAAAAAAATATCAAAATATTACATTAATAGTATTAATAGTAAAAGTATTATTAAAGTAACCCTAGATCTCTAGCTTTAATAAAATATTAGGCCTTAGGCCTATAATTTATTAATAATAATAATTATAAAAATTATACTTCAGTAGTGTAAGTGACAGTTACTGTGACAGTGTGACAGTATCTCTAGTCTAGTACTCTAGTCTAGACTAAGAGTCAAATGACATCATGCTTTTTTTGACGATTTTTACCTCCCCCCCTCCCCTCCATCACACATCGTCACAAAAAGCCAGACACCCCCCCCCCCCAAATGACATCACACCTCAGCCTACAACCCCTCTCAAAATGGCAGTTGAATTTTTTTTAAACATCGATATTTTTCCAAAATCTTGTCTGAAATGTGTCAAAATAGTGTATTTTAATCAATTCCTATTATAATTTATTAAAACTGTTTTCTAAAACACTAAATAACGTCTAAAATTCGTTTTCTAACATTTCTTATCTATAAAGCAAAAGTGTGACGTCGCACCATCTGAAACCCCCCCCCCCCCCTCAACACACATCGCCACAAAATTACCGACCCCCAGATCCCCTACGAGTGTCGCGTCATTTATGGACGAATCCTTAATGATAATAATTAATTATTTTCAATTTGAGTCTACTACTAAACTAATGTTGCACAGCAAAGTACAGTCTCAAAAAAAAAATAAATCAAAAGGTCAAAGTGAAATAATACTATTCTAGAATCTAGATCAAAAGTGTTGTAGGTCTAAACTTGATGAGTATGACAGTAGGTGATGTAGATCTATATTCCTAAACAATGTATTTGTTATACCTGTGTCAGATGATGGCACAATAATAGAATCTTCTTAAAAAAAGAGGTGGTTAGGTTACTGAGTTAACTTGGTTGATACACATATGAATTGCTAATGTCAATGCTAACCCTAGTCAGAGCCGGCGTTAGGGGGTGGCGAACGGGGCGGTCGCCATAGGCCCCGCGCTTGAAGGGGCCCCGCGCTTCAGCACGGCCATTGTTGTCTGAATTAGTTTGTAAACTTTAAAAAATTGTTGCTGAATTCAATTGGGAAAAACTAAATGGTCGAATGCCGACGTTGTTGATTGTTATAACTGAGGCCACGGTTGATGTTGGTGAGTCCCACCTGAACTGGGACAGGCCGTAATTCGATACAAAAATAGTGTCACGCCTTCCAGACTTTTTTCTCCAGGGGGGAGGGGCACTTGAAATTTTCTGGGGGGGGGGGGGGGGGGGAGAGGGGCGGTAGATTTTCTTCGCCCCCCCCCCCCCCCCCCCCCCCCCCCCCCCGAAGAGATGCCCGGAAGAAACTCTATATGTAGGCCTACTTGTCTTGGTATAACAAAGATAACATTCAGTTGCGTGCAGAGGGGTGGGAGGAGGGCGACGAGGAGGGGGGGGGGCGCCTTAGGATCTATATCAGGCGGCATTAAACAGAGTGATTTATTATTTTTTGGAAGAAAGTTAAAACTGTTGTTATGTTGTGTCACCTTAAGGATTCACCCGTTCAATAATTAAGACAATAATGTTTTTGGTTTTAAAATATTGTATGAATTCTAAACAAATTTTGAAGTCTATACTGTTTTGATACATCAGGCCGAGTTCGCTGTATTGTAAACTTTATTTTCCTAATTATTCGGCACGTGATTAAATTTTCTTAAGTGATTTGGTATGAATTACATAACTGTCAAAAGTGATTTAATATCTTAGCAAAGGAAAAAAAAAACTACGAACATTGGCTTAATACATGGGAGAGATAAAAATCTGTTATTATAGTGGAAAGTTTGACATTAGCTTATAAACTCCAAAACATTTGTGTTATTATGTGTACATCACATTTTATAGGCCTTTATACATATATATATATATATATATATATATATATATATATATATATATATATATATATATATATATATATATATATATATATATATATATATATATATATATATATATATATATATATATATATATGTATATATAATGGAAAGGCCCCGCGCGGATGGTTGGCCCTAGGCCCCGCGTATTCCTAACGCCGGCTCTGACCCTAGTTTACCATTTTTGGAAGATTCTGTCATCAGACATTGGTATAGATCTACCCAATTATCCAGGATGTTAATAGGGGATGGGGGGGGGGGGCCAAAAAAACACAAAACAAATTAATTAGGTTGAAGTCCAAGTTGTCTTGCAAATAATATAAATAGGGCCTAATTTAAAAATAAATTTTGGTCTTCTAATATGTTTGCTATTTTATTTACGCCTTTATTTATAAGCCTATATATGGGCACAGCCATACATAATTTCTAGTAGGGTTATTGATGAACAACTTTTTATAACTAGGCCTACATTACTACTAAAATCATTAATGTTCTTCTGCTTTCACCCACTCCTTATTGAATATGTTCTAAAAGATATAGGCCTATTTTATTACTACTGTAAAAAATGTTGTTGATGTGCCTATACCATAATGTCACATATTGTTCATTACTGATTGCCAGTAGGCCTAACCACTAGTATCACTTAGTCAACTTGCAGTATTGCTGTTACAGTTAGGGTGTTGCCAGATTTGGAGCATATAGGGTCTACATTGGTTTTAACAAACTGAGAACACTTTTTTAAAATCTACTAGCTGTTCTTTTTAAACACACTGATTACACTTTTAAAAAAAATTAACGCTCTAATTACACCAGCTGTGTAGCCACATGACTGTAGTTGACCCATGACTGACCAAGGTTCCGTTCTCCCACAGGTTCCTGTGAGTCGTCCTTGCCCAACCCATGCCAGCATCAGTGTACAAACATACACAGTGGTGGCTTCTACTGCCTCTGTAACGAGGGGTATTCAATCAACAAGGATGGGATGACATGTGCAGGTGAGGCATTAGCATGTTATTTTTTATGAAATTTGATAGGCCGGTTCATCATGGGTTTATAGAAGGATGTCGCATAAGATTTTGAACTACAATTTGCAAAAATACAACCAACTGTCCAACTCTAAGCACCTTTTATTTTAATTATATTTGTAAGAAGATTAAATTTTGTAAAATATTTTTTTAAAAATCCAAAGTTTGGTCTCTTTTGACATTAGATTAATCTTAACTTTAACTTACTAAGGAAATTGTATACAACAGTTGGTTAAATGGCACCTTTTTATAAGCTTTTACTTAGGTCACAATGTCTCTCCTTGTTAAGGCTCAATTTTAACTTTTTTTCTAATGGAGTGATTTTGTTCTAGATAAATTTGTATCTGATGAAAATGCAATGATATTAAATTTTCAATCTAAGATAATCAAATCTCTTTTAAGTAAAAGAATTGTCCCTGAAATTTCATCGGCGGGACAAAAACCAATAATTGTATCTTAATTTTGAGTGTCTGAGAGTTTTAGTGTTATAGCCACGCCCCCCCCCCCCCCCCCCCCCGCCTCTGTGCAAGACATATTTTTTTTAATATCTAAGTGACAATTAACTGGCAATGAAAGGTTAATTTGTTGGTAACTATGTTGGATAAAGTATCAGGCAGATTGTTTCTCTTCTTTAGAAGCAGATTACAAAGTCCCATCCCAGGCAGGAGACAGCAAAGATGCTCCTGGAGAAACAAATGTCGACAATAGCCAGGTGGTGAAAATCCAAAGTTTTGATCTGAAGAAAGGGCTGGCCCCATTGGAGTCTAGTGCCCACACCAGGCTGCTGAAGACAGACAGCAGCCTGATCTTGGACAGGGGTTTCTACAACATTCTGGAGGGCGGAGCTGACGATTATGGAGTGATATGTGACGGACACGTGTGCCAGAATAATGGGACGTGTACGGTGATGCAGTTCAGGGTGTCTTGTCAGTGTCCTTTTGGGACGGGTGGAGAGTATTGTCAGCAAGGTATGTGATAGGTTTTGGAGAGTATGTCAATGTATGTCATAGGTTTTAGAGAGTATTGTTAGCAAGGTATGTGATAGGTTTTGGAGAGTATTGCCAGCAAGGTATGTGATAGGTTTTGGAGAGTATTGTCAGCAAGGTATGTGATAGGTTTTGGAGAGTATGTCAAGGTATGTGATAGGTTTTGGAGAGTATGTCAATGTATGTCATAGGTTTTAGAGAGTATTGTTAGCAAGGTATGTGATAGGTTTTGGAGAGTATTGTCAGCAAGGTATGTGATAGGTTTTGGAGAGTATGTCAAGGTATGTGATAGGTTTTGGAGAGTATGTCAATGTATGTCATAGGTTTTAGAGAGTATTGTCAATGTATGTGATAGGTTTTGGAGAAGATGTCAAGGTATGTGATAGGTTTTGGAGAGTATGTCAAGGTATGTGATAGGTTTCGGAGAGTATGTCAATGTATGTCATAGGTTTTAGAGAGTATAGTCAAGGTATGTAATAGGCTTGGGAGAGTATTGCAATGGGAGAGTAAGTTAAGGTATGTCATGTGATATCATTAGCAGTGGATTTTCTTGGTATATGATAGGTTTAGGAGAGTATTAACCACAAGGTTTGTAATAAGTTTGGGAAAGTGTCAGGTTTAGTAAGGATGGTTTGATTGCTTTATAAGAGTGTCGTCAAGGTATGTAATACGTTAGGGAGAGTTGTCAAGGTATGCGATACTGATAGTTTAGTGAGTATGGTGTGATTGGTTTATCAGAGTGTTGTCAAGGTGTGTGATAGGACAGAGTAAATTTGCTTCCTTAGTTTCTCCAGTTCTCTATTTCTTGTGACGTGATAGCTACAAACTCGGCTAACTCACACCTCCACTCCACAGAGGTAGAGGTCAAATACCCCAAGTTTTCTGGAACTGGATACCTCTCACTGCCTGTTCTACCCAGTGCTGGAAATGAATTTCATGTCAGTCTACAGTTCCGACCAGAGAATGAACATGGGCTATTGCTCTACACTGGCCACTCTCTTGATGATATGCGTGGTATCTTCTCAGTTGCCTTGGTCTATGAGCATATTATTTTCAGGTACTCTTTTCTTTATAAATCTTCTTTTTAAGTTTTTTCTACCTCAAGCTTGCAATGTGTAGGATGTTTTATAGCAGTTAAGTTTTTCAGCTAAGAAATTTGACATTGTGAAAAAGAAAACCCATTTGTATATATATATATATATATATATATATATATATATATATATATATATATATATATATATATATATATATATATATATATATATATATATATATATATATATATATATATATATATATATATATATATAAGCGTGTATGTGTGTGTGTATATATATATATATATATATATATATATATATATATATATATATATATATATATACACACCTTATTAAAATGCAGTGTGTGTGTTTTTTTAAAGATATGATTGTGGACGAGGTGACGCTGAGATGAAATCTAGAAACAAAGTGGCCTTGGGTCAGTGGAACAGGTTGATCATCACAAGGCAAGAGAGCCGGGCCACGATGAAGCTTAACGAGGAAGATGAAATCCAGGCAGTTTCTAAAGTAAGCTACTTACAATTTGTACAGTGTCAGTTTAACATCAGTGTAGCATAGGTACTCGTGTGGTGTCAGTCTTAGAAAAATTGTAAACTTAAACTGACACAATCACACTGTCATCAATAGCTGCAAGAGGGTTTTTTCAAGCATCTGCCTCCCCATAATGAAATTGAAAAAATATTAAATCAAAAATGGAAATATATACTATAACCATTGTTACAAATGCCCACCCATCCAGAATTTTAAAAAGCCCATGGTAGCAAAATATCTGAAAGAAAACCTGAATAGCATCAGCCATATGTGAGATATGCCAGATGTTATAAATATCATAAGAACAGTAGTGTAAATAGAGTTAAGTGGGTTGTTGGTCAACAGTTTTTAAAGGTTTATTCTGATGTTTTGTCATTGTTTGTTTATTTAAATATATTTTTCCAATGCATCATTTAAAGTCAGTATAGAATGTTATGCACTCATAGTAACTTTTAATTATTAACTTCATAAATTTTTGAACAGAATGTTTGATACAGGTTTAATTTTTTAAAATTATTGTAATTACAGGTAGATTTTTCTAGAACAGCTGCCCGTGTTTACCTGGGTGGCTACAGCAACATGCCAGACAACGTCTGCTCCGCCAGCTCACAGAGGTTTACAGGGTGTGTCCAGGAGATGGAGGTCAACGGTCATGTCCTGGACTTTAGAAAAGATGGAGTGCAAGGTGTTAACGTGGGTAAGTCAACATGGTCTGGTGGAGTAGAATCTTGAAAGTGTTATGTGGGTAGGAGGTGGTTAAGTCAACATTGGTTAGTGGCTTAATGAATCTTGAAGGTTTGTTATGTGGGTGGGATGTGGTTAAGTCAACATTGGTTAGTGGCTTAATGAATCTTGAAGGTTTGTTATGTGGGCAGGATGTGGTTAAGTCAACATTGGTTAGTGGCTTAATGAATCTTGAAGGTTTGTTATGTGGGTGGGATGTGGTTAAGTCAACATTGGTTAGTGGCTTAATGAATCTTGAAAGTTTGTTATGTGGGTGGGATGTGGTTAAGTCAAGATTGGTTAGTGGCTTAATGAATCTTGAACGATTGTTATGTGGGCAGGATGTGGTTAAGTCAACATTGGTTTGCGACTTAATGAATATTGAAGGTTTGTTATGTGGGTGGGATGTGGTTAAGTCAACATTGGTTAGTGGCTTAATGAATCTTGAAAGTTTGTTATGTGGGTGGGATGTGGTTAAGTCAACATTGGTTAGTGGCTTAATGAATCTTGAAGGTTTGGTATGTGGGTGGGATGTGGTTAAGTCAACATTGGTTAGTGGCTTAATGAATCTTGAATGTTTGTTATGTTGGTAAATCAAGATGGCCTGGTGGCTTAATGAATCTTGAAAGTTTGTTATGTGGGCAGGATGTGGTTAAGTCAACGATTGCTAGTGGCTTAATGAATCTTGAAAGTTCGTTATGTGGGTGAGATGTGGATAAGTCAAGATTCTATTCTTCAGTGGGGTTTGAATTTATTCTACAGGTGAATGCAGCTCATCAGTATGTGAGGGTGTGGTCTGCCAAAATGGGGGCACTTGTACCCCCCAGTCAGCTGACCAGTACATGTGCCTGTGTCCATTGGGGTTCTATGGAGAATCCTGTCAGCAGGGTATGTTATTCTGTTATGTCCACATGTACATCCCTATATAGAATTTGTAGTAAATAAAGTCTTTAAAATGCCTAGAGAAATGCCATCAATGGTTTTGACCTGATGTTATTGGAACAAAAAGTAAAAACAAATATTTAAAAAAAAAATCTTACACATGGATTTATATTATCTATTCATAGCATTCTTTAATATTTCTTATTTTTCAGTTAAAGGATAAACATTTGTACCCATTTAACAGTTGAAGTAGATTTAATTTGTTTTTAGGCCTCCTCAAATTTAGTGATGTTGTATATAGCAATATGCCAATACTCTATCACTAAACCACGCTGCTGCATAATATTGTCTGTACCCATCCATTGTGTCCATTGTTTACTTTAACCGTAACCTATCTAATCTCCAGATGCACCAGTCCGTGTCCCCCAGTTCTCTGGCTCCTCCTACTTGGAGTACCCAGGTCTCCAGCGGTCAGTCTTGTCTTACACAGAAATAGAAATGGCCATGAAACCCACTAGCCTGGATGGAACTCTGCTGTACAATGGCTACTCTAAAGACAGGACAGGGGACTTTGTATCGCTCTCATTACATGCTGGATACTTGGAGTTTAGATTTGATTTGGGTACTGGAACAGCTGTTATAAGGTCATTCTTTTTTTGTGTTTTTTTAGTATGTGAATTGTTCGCAATTAGGTTTTTTTTAACAGATGTTATAATTGAAAAACAGTTATACTGAAGTTGGTAAAAACTTTTTATTTTAACGGACTTAAGTCAAGTGACTCGTAAATGATTAAAATAATTATATAGTTTATAGATATGTTCGTATTCATCTTAACCATATGTCCTAAATAAAGTATTTAGTGAATGGAGAAATTAGTTGCCTATGTCAGCTTAAATCTATCTTTGAATTTTTGTGACCGTAGGAGCCAGGAACCTCTCTCATTGGATGAGTGGCACTTTATCCGAGCCTCGCGCACCGGCCTCATGGGGACGTTGGAAGTAGATGACCAGGGTCATGTGGCTGGGCAGGCAGGGGGTGCCTACACCCAACTGACCCTCTTTGACGGACTGTATCTAGGAGGTCATCCCAATTATGACCACACATCTAAGCCTGCTAATCTCTCTAAATCTTTTAAAGGCTGCATTCAAAAGGTAAAGCTCTTAAGATTTTTAAAAATTTCACACTCTTAAACAATGTCAGTCATTGTGCATTATTATTTGTTGGTTCTTTATGGTTCTGAAAGCATTGCAAGTTTTAAAAATTGTCATAATAGGCCTACTCTTTTTATGACTTTTTAAAATAAAATGTTTTTATTTTCCAGATTGATTAAATTTTATGGTTTATAGTAAAGACATCTTTAAAAATATCCCTTTTTGCATCTTTTAAAACCTATTAATGATACTTTAGTGGGCTATACATGTGTAAAATGTGTTACTTTTTGAATATTTTAATGTCACGTTCACTTTTTTAAGCCTAGCTTACTTATCACATCATTCTCATTTGCTTTTTTTGTCTCTCCTTCTAAATCTAATGTATTTTGTTGTTAACATATATTTATATTATAATTCACATTTATGTAGTAAAATATTTTCTGACATGCAATACAATTGTTGCAGGTGAAAATCAACAAAAAACAGCTCCAGCTGATAAGTTCAGCTACCAAGGGAGTGAATATCAGCCCTTGTTCACACCCTTGTGCTGGGCAGCCCTGCTTGAATGGAGGGGAGTGTCACCCAAATCTGGACAGCTACTCATGTTATTGCCCTATTGGTTTCACCAACAAAAACTGTGAAAATGGTACAGTTTACATTTTTTAAACTTCAGCTTATAAAAAAATAGAATGCAATCCCATTCCTCCTGTTGGTGCTAAAACATTTGTATTTTTAAATGTTTTGATATTTTGCTGTTCAATTTTTATTAATTTTAAATTCGTTAAAATAACGTAACATTCTAGGCATTTAAAGTTGGCACATCTAAAATGTTAATAGTCTATTTTTAAAGGTTGAATTAGTGAATGGCTACAAGAAGTATCACTTATAATTGTAATAATCTACTTTTAAAGATTGAATAGGTCATTGGTTACAAGCAGTAAAAAATGTAAGGACATACAGATGAACACAAACTCTCATTTGAACATGTTCGGCACCTGTTTGTAAATTTTCCAATTCATTAAACTATTGCAGGTCACAGCTTGCTGCCCTCACGTCCAATGTTTTCTGGTGAGAGCTACCTCATGTACAATGAGAGGGAAATTGTTAAAAGGTGGGTCGTTGATTGGTTAAGGGTGGGCTTAAGTTAAAAAGGTGGATTGTTGTTTGGGCTCGCCATAAATGACGTCACACTCATAGGGGGGAGGGGGGTCCGTAATTTTGTGACGGAGTGTGATGAGGGGGAGTTCAGATGGTGCGACGTCACACTTATGATTTTATAAAAAAGCAATGTTAGAAAATGAATTTAGATGTTATTTTGATAAATTGTTATAAAAATTGATTAAAATACTATATTTTGACAGCGTCAGACAAGATTTTGGAAAAATATAGCTGTTTAAAAAAAAATTCAACTGCAATTTTGAGGGGGGGGGTTGTAGGCTTAGGTGTGATGTCATTTTAAGGGAGTATGGCTTTTTGTGACGAAGGGTGATGGAGGGGAGGGGGGGAGGTAAAAATCATCAAAAAAAGCGTGACATCATTTATGGATGATCCCTTTTGGTAAAGGGTTGGCTTATGTGAAAATGTAGATTGTTTGGTAATTGGTGGGCTTAAAAAAAAAAAAGTTAAAAAGTGGGTTGTTGTTTTTTTTAAAGGATGGTCTTATGTTAAAAGGGGTGTTGTTTGGTGAAGCTTGTCATTAAAAGATTTTTGCATGAAAATATTGCACTGTACACATGTTCAAGTTTCCATAGTTTCTCTGCTTCTGATCTCAGATTTAATTTTAAAATATCTTTCCAGAGTATCTGGCACTCTAATGGATTTCCAGATGACGTTTCGTGCCACCAGTCGGGAAGGTCTGATTTTCTGGAGCGGTGAAGACCTGAGGCTTAAGCCCAGCGGGGACTTTATTTCCCTGGGGTTTCATGGCGGAAGCTTACAGCTGCATTACAATTTGGGGAGTGGTGAGGCTGTTATCAGCTACAATGACTCCCGTCTGTTGGATGGGGACTGGCATTCAGTGAGAATTCAGAGGTGGGTAATGTTTTTTGTTTCAGTGTATATTTTTTTGTAGGTTATTAAATCCACAAATGTCTTATGTGGTAAGGGTGAATTTTTTAAAAAAGTAACAGAGAATTCATGGTTTTAACTGGATAGCTTCTCATGTGAGAAATTTGAACTCTCTGGATGAAAATATTTAGCAAAAAGTCTGAGTTTTGCTCTTAGAGAAGGGAGTCATAACTTGAGATTCCAGATAACTATCAGCTCATATGTTGGCGAGGCGGGACAGTTTTGGCTGGATATATGCGTCCGTTTTTATTTTGAAAATATGGTCAGTTTTTTTATTGGAGGTTTGTGTCACTTTTTAAATTGGAGGTGTTAGTCAGTTTTTGTATTGGAGATATGGTCAGTTTTTGTTTTGAAAATATGGGGTCAGTTTTTGTATTGGAGATAGGAGTCAGCTTTTTCTTTGGAGGGATGTGTCAATTTTGGAGTTAAGAATTTTATATTGAAGAGATAGATGAGGTTTATTTCTCTAACAATTTTGCCATTCCTGCAGAGACAAGCAAGATGCGTACATGGAGATAGACAAGGTGGAGGTGGTGGAGGGGAGCTCCCCTGGTGCGTACACCTCCCTCAACACAGACAACACAATGTACTTAGGTAAGCTGGTGGCACGACTTGAGTTTTTGTTTACGTGAGAATGTATGTCATGTCTTCAATATTTTGTTTTTTATAGCAGTTCACAGTTTATCAACAGGACCCATCAAACAAATTTTAACTCATTTTCAATGTTTTCCTGTGCAAAATAATTAGCATTGTTGTTGTGTGTAGATGATTTTTTTTTGAATGGGTTTAGTCATGTGAGTATTCACTTTAAAAGAGATCTGTCACTTGACAGAAAAGAATTTTCTGTATAGGCTATTTGAAAATTCCTTGCTAGTTATAAAATGTTGTATGTAAATTTGTAGATTTTGTGGTATGTTTGTAAATTTGTAGGATTTGTGGTGTGTTTATAAAAGGGTAGGTTTTGTGGTATGTTTATAAATGTGTAGGTTTTGTGGTATGTTTATAAATTTGTAGATTTTGTGGTATGTTTGTAAATTTGTAGGTTTTGTGGTATGTTTGTAAATTTGTAGGTTTTTTTGTTATGTTTGTAAATTTGTAGGTTGCGTGGTATTTTTATAAATTTGTAGATTTTGTGGTATGTAGGTAAATTTGTAGGTTTTGTGGTATGTTTATAAATTTGTAGGTTTTGTGGCATGTTTGTAAATTTGTAGGTTTTGTGGTATTTTTATAAATTTGTAAGTTTTTTGGTATTTTTATAAATTTGTAGGTTTTGTGGTATTTTTATAAATTTGTAAGTTTTTTGGTGTTTTTATAAATTTGTGAGAGTTGCCTTATGGCAGCATTAAAGCTTTTTAATTTTGTCAATTACCTTATGTATTAGGATGTCAAAAGTTTTATGTAATCCCACCCTTGCTTGTTCACAGGAGGAATGCCAAACATCGCTGAGAAGACAGGTGGGCGATACACGTCTGGGTTCTCTGGTTGTATAAATGGGCTGAAACTGGCCACAGACTACGACGTCATGCTGGTCAGCCAGTCCCAGGAGGGTAGGAACATTGTCCAGTGCAGGAGGAACTAGGACCAGGGAGGGCCTGACATCAAACACAAGTGCTGTGAATATTTTTTTCTGCTGGATCTGAGCATTCCTTTATACAATCATCAGTTTTACTTCGTGTTGTATGTCTTACTTATGGATGTCCTGCTACATTCATGTGTACACAGAAAAAAAAAGCTAAGAAAAAAATGATGCAAATAATTCCTCATTCCGCCAAAGAAATAATTAATTAAGCATAATTTTTTGGATGGGACTGGACCATTGTGCTAAAGGTCAACAATTTTTGTGTGTTGACCATGAACTGGTTGCATGACCTTTGACAGGTTATAAGATGAACAATCAAAACAGATTTTCTGATTGACAGTTGGGGTGATAATTTAAAAAACCAATGCCAAATTTTTTAATTAACTGGTATGTAATTAACTAGTTCATTGACCATTTAGTTCATTTTAGTAAATGGTTAAGCATTCACTTATTCCTGATTAATCTAGCGAACCATATACTATTTCAATTAGTAAATTAGTAAGAATAACCTTATTACAATTTATGAATTAATTAGACTAATTAGTTTAGTATTTGGTTGAGTAGCTAGTTGTATGTAGATGACATTGATGTTGCTAATATTCTGTTGAAACTTTAATTTCTTGATATAATTCATTTAGCATTTTTTATTACTGGTATCATCCAATCACCCTTTCAGTATGTTTTCATCATCTAGGTAGTAAGTGACCAAATTAGTTAGGCAACTGTTGTAATCATTCAAGTTATGTAACTGATCAAAGTAGGTGGATAAACTAAACTAATGTTTAAATCATCTGGGTTGTGGAATTGTACAAACTATGTACCTGTTGATGTCGTTAAGATTTGTTTCTAATCCTGACTATATTTCTGACCGCTCTAATCCTGACCCTATTTCTGACCGCTCTAATCCTGACAGCTATTCCCTCTGACATAAAAACATATGACAAAAAATTGCTTTTTTAGCAAGTTGAAAAACCAACTGACACCTACCTACCTAGAGCAGTCATGTCACTTGCTGTCTACCGACACCTACCTACCTAGAGCTGACATGTCACTTGCTGTCTACCAACTGACACCTACATATCTAGAGCTGTCATGTCACTTACTGTCTACCAATTGACACCTACCTATCTAGAGCTGACATGTCACTTACTGTCAACCGACACCTACCTATCTAGAGCTGACATGTCACTTACTGTCTACCAACTGACACCTACCTATCTAGAGCTGCCATGTCACTTACTGTCTACCAACTGACACCTACCTATCTAGAGCTGCCATGTCACTTACTGTCTACCGACACCTACCTATCTAGAGCTGACATGTCACTTACTGTCAACCAACTTACACCTACCTACCTAGAGCAGGCATGTCACTTGCTGTCTACCGACACCTACCTACCTACAGCTGTCATGTCACTTACTGTCAACCGACACCTACCTATCTAGAGCTGACATGTCACTGTCAACCGACACCTACCTATCTAGAGCTGACATGTCACTTACTGTCAACCGACACCTACCTATCTAGAGCTGACATGTCACTGTCAACCGACACCTACCTATCTAGAGCTGACATGTCACTTGCTGTCAACCAACCGACACCTACCTATCCAGAGCTGACATGTCACTTGCTGTCAACCAACCGACACCTACCTATCTAGAGCTGACATGTCACTGTCAACCGACACCTACCTATCCAGAGCTGACATGTCACTGACATGAGCTGGACGTTGACCTTTTAGGTGAAGCGGAGCTTAGGTTGTTCGCTATGTCCATTTTAACTTCATGCCCCATCTGCCATAATGATGAATACATCCGTAGACAGCATTTGAGCGGCCTTTCTGTTTCTGTATGGCCATGCGTATAAGCCACCACTGTGACGACATGACATAATTAATTACCAAGGGCCACAATGTGAAAGACAGGATTTGATCTATTTACCATTTCAAACTTTACAAACAATGTTTTATTCGCTTATTTTTCTAGATGGTTTTTGCATTTTTGTGTCATGCATTCACTTTTTTGTGTGCTCCTTTTGTACAGTCCTTTTGCCTGTTGTACATGGGCTGTATTGGTGAAGAGAACTCTTGTACAGTTTAAACACTGTCAAGTTTTGTAGAGTGGTTTCCCTTAGTTCGAGCTAAACAGCTGTTTCAAACATTCCATTCACCAACCATTTACATGAAAAAGTCAATTCACTCCAACATTTGGTTGTGCTCTAGTTATACCAGTCTACAAACTTTTTTTTTTTTTTTTGATTCCCTGATGGTTTCATATACAGATCTGTATAAAAATTAGCCCTTTGATGTTGTTCTGGTTTTGTCTTAGATGATAATTATGCATCAGTAGAGTTGAAAATATGTAACAATTTTAAACCACTAAATATTCATCAAATTTTTCTTGCTTGTTGAGTTTAGCGTATTTATACATAAAAATAAAAATTTGGGCACATAATAAATAAACAACCATTTTCATTAGAAGACTGCAGCTTGTTTTTTTAAAAAAAAACAACTAAAATTATATTGTTTTTAAAAAAAAATACATTGATAACATATTTTGTAATGTCGTAACTTTTTTAAACAATATTCATTTTAAACTGCAGTTTGATATACTTATTTTTGTGTTACTCCTTGAGTAGCATTCAAGCCTATGAAACAAATATTCAATCAAAATAAAAAAAATATGTTTTAAATGTGGCAAGCTGCAATCAGATATATATTTTTTTGTTTACAATTTTTTATGTTGTAAATGTTGGTTTGATGTACTTAATATGGGACACTCCTGTTTGTCTCCACACCCTACAAACTTGTGGTACTACCACCCCTCACCATCCTATAATCTTGTGTTAGAACCCTCCCCACCCTACAAACTTGTGGTACCACCACCCCTCACCATCCTACAATCTTGTGGTAGAACCCCCCCCCCCCCCTCCCCATCCTACAAACTCTTTGTACCACCCCCTCCCCATCCTATAATCTTTAGGTAGAACCCCCCCTCCTCACCCTACAATATTGTGGTAGCACCTCCATAGTTACTATTTCAACCCCACCCAAACCTTCAACCTAAAGTGTATTTTATAAAGTAATATACTTCTAAGCTCTAAACCCCAACCTACAATTAGAAAAAGGTGTTCATTGTTGGTAGTGGTAGGAGAAAACAGGAGTACATCCTAAATTTGATCTTAACTTTGTCATTGATGAAATGTCAACCTATCAGAGCCATAATATTTTACAGTTGGTGTAGGCTGTGGTATGTGTTGTGGTCTGATGTAGTTAACAAATGTATTATTTATTTACAGTTTTTTCTGTAGTTGAATAGAAACCACTGTATATTATTGTTTTTTAATTATTTTTTTTTGTTAAAAAAATGTGTGTAATTCTAGACAGCATAATGGACCATGTCTGATGTAATCAAAACTTCTTGCTCTACAAAACAAGATTGACATTTTGCTCATTAAATATCTGAGTTGTTTTGTTTTTTACATTTAATATGCTTTAAGAAAAGTAGGCAGTGCTTTGAGGGTATAGGCACGGTGAGTGAACCAAAGGCATTATATTACTCAAGCATCATATATATAGATATAGATCAGGGGTCTCCAAACTACGGCCCGCGGAGATCCTTTTGTCCAAGGAAAAATCGTTTGTCGGTGATTGCTGAGGAACTTTGCCCAGAAAAATCAAAGACATGCCTGGAAGAAACTGGCCCCCGAACTGAAATTTGATAGTTAATGCGGCCCTCGGACTGAAAAGTTTGGAGACCCCTGATATAGATGATGATATAATTATAGTATAGCTCTAGTCAAAGAGATGCCTGGCATTTTTACTGCCACTATTTACATAATAATCAAGTAATAGTAATAGATCATTGGATGATTGTGCATTGGAGGTCCAAACTCAGCATGGGCTATATGTTGCTCTGGTATCAAGTCCCCTCTCTCCACACAGCTGATGGGCGCAAGGGACAGTGCGTTATAGTTACACCTTAAAATCAGCAGAGTCGCTGGAGCTGCCGAAAGGAAATCAGAGTTGTAACCCTATCGCCTCGATTTCGCAGTTTTCTCTCCTCCTAGACGTGGCGCTGTCCCCAGCTAGCGAGCTTTGTCTGCCCGTAGGTTTAAACTCGGGACTTTCGGGTAAACAACTATATGCTGACCCGTCCGACCACTCCTACCCTCTTGGCATCTGTACTGTCATTCACACCTTTTATCCTTTCTGTATTTCAAACAATTGAAACAAAATACAATTTTAAGAGAACCATCATATTTTTAGGCCGACTAAATCATTGCATAACTACATACTTACGTAACCGTCATTTTATTTTCAAGGCTTTGATATTCAAAATACAATGAGAAATTAATACAAATCGGATAATTTCATACTTTTGTAACTGCAGTTTTATTTCAAGGTTTTGTTATTCAAAATACAATGAGAAATGAAAACATCAGATAATTTCATACTTTTGTAACTGCAGTTTTATTCCAAGGTTTTGATATTCAAAATACAATGAGAAATCGATACAAATCGGATAATTTCATACTTTTGTAGCGGCCGTTTTATTTCAAGGTTTTGTTATTCAAAATACAATGAAAAATGAATAAAAATCAGATAATTTCATACTTTTGTAACGGCAGTTTTATTTCAAGGTTTTGTTGTCCAAAATACAACGAGAAATGCATACAAATCAGATAAATTCATACTTTTGTAACGGCCGTTTTATTTCAAGGTTTTGTTGTTCAAAATACAATGAGAAATGAAAACATCAGATAATTTCATACTTTTGTAACTGCAGTTTTATTTCAAGGTTTTGTTGTTCAAAACGGCCGTTTTATCTCAAGGCTTATTTATTCAAAATACAATGAGGCATACCAATACAAACTACAAGCTGAGGGTTGTAATGGTTGGAGTGGGGTTGGAAGAAATAAGACATGTCGACATAAAGTCCTCATACAGAACCCACCGAACCAAGACGAAAATTTCCTTTAAAGATCGTTGAAAAGTAAAACGAAAGTGCTAAACAATGACGCCCGAAACATTGCCTAACAGCGAAATTTCTTCAGAATCAACAACGAAATAGGCATTTTTAATCTTCATTCACTAAACCTAAATGTAAAATTTTGTGCTAAACTTTTGGGACGATTAATGATTTTTTAACCGGTAGAAACACAACGGTGCATATTTAAATGTTGGACAAAGTTTCGTTAAAGGTTGGATGGCGCAGCGTAAGTAAGATGAGGAACAAATATGGGCGGTTTTCGAGAGATTAAAGAAAAAAGATGAAAGATTGAAAGGGCCATCAATTTAAGATTCTTTTTTGGTTTTAGAGAGATTAAAGAAAAAAGATGAAAGATTGAAAGGGCCATCAATTTAAGACAATATTTTGGTTTTAGAGAGATTAAAAATAAAAGATTGAAAGGGCCATCAAGTTAAGACAATATTTCGGTTTTTGAGAGATTAAAGAAAAAAGATGAAAGATTGAAAGGGCCATCAATTTAAAACAATATTTCCGTTTTTGAGAGATTAAAAATAAAAGATTGAAAGGGCCATCAAGTTAAGACAATATTTCGGTTTTTGAGTGATTAAAAAAAAGATGAAAGATTGAAAGGGCCATCAATTTAAGACAATATTTCGGTTTTTGAGAGATTAAAAAAGAAAGATTGAAAGGGCCATCAATTTAAGACAATATTTTGGTTTTAGAGAGATTAAAAAATGATAGATTGAAAGGGCCATCAATTTAAGACAATATTTCGGTTTTAGAGAGATTAAAAATAAAAGATTTAAAGGGCCATCAATTTAAGACAATATTTCGGTTTTAGAGAGATTAAAAAAAAAAAGATAAAAGATTGAATTAGTTAAAAAAAAAATTATAACCCTGGTTATTTTAGGAGTGAGGATGGAAGGGTGTGACGTCATTTACAGACGATCACATAAGACTTTAGCTGATGAAAAGAAAGGAAGAAAAAAAAAGTTTTTCTAGCGGCTGAATGAACTTGGTTCATTTAAAGGTTATTTTGCTGACATTGACATCCCCTCTAATGTCGAGATAGTCGGCGCCCTCGATGGTGTGGTCGGTCTCTGTCAGGTAAACTCCGCCTACGTAGACCTGTTGAAAAAAACAAACAACCCACACGTGTCATGAGAGACTCTGTACATGGTGTGTTACTCTAGCTTGGAGGCTTTATAGCAGTGGCGTAGGCAGGGGGGGTCATAACCCCCCCATAGACCCCTCGGTATATATAAAAAGTATGAGGGGGGGGGTGCAAATCGAACGTTTGAGGGGGGGGGGTGCAAATCGAAAGTTTGAGGGGGGGGGGTGCAAATCGAAAGTTTGAGGGGGGGGGGGTGCAAATCAAAAGTTTGAGGGGGGGTGCAAATCGAAAGTTTGAGGGGGGGGGTGCAAATCAAAAGTTTGAGGGGCGGGGGGTGCAAATCGAAAGTTTGAGGGGGGTGCAAATCGAAAGTTTGTCCCCGGGTAAAAATTGGAACCCCCCCCCCCCCCTTGAGACGATCCTGGCTACGCCACTGCTTTATAGTGTGTAATTCTAAGGGGGGGGGTGGCAAACATTTTGTTCATTATTGACCGTGCTTCGTTTTACAATGTTTAATTTGATTCCTCTGACATTCTTTTGTTTTTATTGTGGGCTGAAACATGCCTGTGTAATTTCAAACATCTAGATCGGACCGATTTCTTTCAAACTTGACATTGCAATGTGACATAAAATTTGACTTGATAGGTTGTTTAATTAACTTAAAAAAAATAATTAAAGTGGGGCCCCTACGCAAAATTAAATTTTCTCGGACATAGTTTGCTTATATGTGTAGCGCCATTCATTTAGCTGTTCCGTTTCATTCTATTAAAATTTAAAAAGTATAAACATTTTAAATAATTTTTAAAAGTTTTAATATCATGCTTTTATACAAAAAAAAAACTTATAATATTTTTTTAGAGTGCGCTGAAATTAATAAGATAAATAAACCTGCTTTCTTGTATTAAAGCATTGGTCTCTAAATTACGTAAGAGATTTCATGGAGAGTTGTCCGGTGTAGTCTACGTTTTGATGACGTTTTATTATTACGGGTGCGGTTTCATTGCGAGTAATGTGTTTGCTCGGCTTGTGTTTGTATAGTATCCTACTTGGCATGGAATGCGACATGTGCAAAAAGGGCAGTGATCTCCCTCCTCTAAACTTTTCTCGATGATTACATTTTAAAAATAGAATAGAATCGTATAGAAAAAAAAAAGAATTACGCACAAAATTAATGAAACAACGTGTGCATTATAGGACGGAACATTAGTACTTTAAAAAGAAAGCATGGATTAATTTTTTAAACAAGTTAAGTAAACATTGAACTAAGTCACATTTTATGTCATATGAGATTTTATACCTACGAATATGATTTCGTCCACCTAACCGAAACGGTACTCAGATTATCGGTATTTTAGTAAACAGAAACAGAATAAAGTACCCCTTGTGTTCACTGGAAGTCAATCAAAAAGTGAAAATAATACAGGTATAAGATCGTATACTTATACATGAAATTTCGTTTACATAACTGAAATAGGACACACATTATTTTATTCCCCATAAAAGTGCCATTTCCGGTTATCGGAAATTGCTTAAAAGTTGATAGAAACCTGTGTATATAACGCTATACGTATACTGAAAATACGTCCTCCTAATTTGAACAGTACTCTATTGATCGGCTTTTGAAAAAAGACCGGACGTGATTGAAGTACCCTTTTTGTTTAACGAAAATCCATAAAAAATTGAAAGAAAACTACACATTTGATATATACACACAAACAGACAGACAGGATTGCAAAATTAAGTTTTTCCGACTCAGCGAGGTAAAAAAAACGTCGAGAACTGTTGATCGATTTTGATTTTCTTTTCACAATTACAATCCTCACTCTACACCAGTGGCGTAGCTACCGTAAAGGTAGCGTAAGCAATGCAAATAGGAGCCCTTTTTCGAAAGTTTGAGGGGGGAGGGGGTGCAAATCGAAAGTCTGAGGGAGGGGGTGCAAATCGAAAAAGTTTGTCCCCGGTCGCCGGGAAGGGTCGCTACGCCTCTGAGGGGCCCACTAACACTTTTTGCATAGGGGCCAAAAATCCTAGCTACGCCACTGCTCTACACGCTATATACAAGAAAGTAAAAAAAAAAACCCGTAGGTCCATTATTATTGTAATTCTGTATCAGTCCTCGCAAACCTATGATGAAAAATGTAATACTTAATAGGAACACGGAGGCTAGGCAATAGAATGCTGTACATTTTATATCCCTGGCCAAAACATTTGACATTTTTTAGCGATAAATGCTCTAATTAAATGCTTTAATTAAAACGAGAATATATATTTTTCTTACTTTCAGGGCATTCAAAGGTCATTATAGTGTGTTGTGTGTGTGTGTGTGCACGTGATTAAAACGTCAGCGTCTGACCTTGAAGGTTTCCAATTCGACCTTGATGCCCAGATCGAAGTCCGTATCAATGGTGAATGGAAAAGCAGTGATCTCTGTTGCATCCGACCAAAACCCGCCAGACTTGTACGAGAATAAAATCTTTCTCTGTGAGGATTCGAAGTCGTAGCGAACGTCCATGGAGAAGGCGTTGTCGTTTGTCTCGTACTCTTGGCCGCACACCAATGTAACGATAAATCTGATTGGAGGAAAGCGAACTGTCTAATACAAACATATCAAATCTATTGGAGGAAAGCGAACAGTCTAATACTAATATCAAATCTATTGGAGGAAAGCGAACAGTCTAATACAAACATATCAAATCTATTGGAGGAAAGCGAACAGTCTAATACAAATATATCAAATCTATTGGAGGAAAGCGAACAGTCTAATACAAACATATCAAATATATTGGAAGAAAGCGAACAGTCTAATACAAACATATCAAATCTATTGGAGGAAAGCGAACAGTCTAATACACACATATCAAATCTATCAGGGGAGAGAGTGGGTAGCAAACAGTATAATACACATATATCACATCTATTGGGGAGTCTAATACACACATATCAAATCTATTGGGGGATGGCAAACAGTCTAATACATACATTAGACCAAATAAAAAACTTTTATGCTAATTATTTTTTAACCTTTTGGGCTTCGCTTATGCCTGGCTGGTTGGTAGAGCTGTTGACTTCGAACCAAAAAGTCTCGAGTTCGGATCCAAAAATCCGCAGAACTTACCATAGTTCACCCAGCTCTAGAGGGTACCTAGCTCACGTTAAGGGAAGCAAAGTCTTCGGGGCATAGTGCTGACAATATAATCCCTTTACTAACCGAGGCCACAGAAACAGGTGAACTCTACTTCGTCTGGTTTATGGATGGTTGGGCTCGGAAGGGTAACTGAATTTTATGGGTTTTTCAAGCCCACCAACCACATACACCAACCACATTAACCAACCACATAAACCAACCACATAAACCAACCACATAATCCAACCACATAAACCAACCACATAAACCAACCACATAAACCAACCACATAAACCAACCACATAAACCATCCACATAAACCAACCACATAAGCCAACCACATAAACCAACCACATAAACCAACCATATATACCAACCACATTAACCAACCACATAAACCAACCACATAAACCAACCACATAAACCAACCACATAAGCCAACCACATAAGCCAACCACATAAGCCAACCACAAAAAACAACCACGTAAACCACCACATAAACCAACCACATAAACCAACCACATAAACCAACCACATAAACCAACCACATAAACCAACCACATAAACCAACCACATAAACCAACCACATAAACCAACCACATAAACCAACCACATTAACCAACCACATTAACCAACCACATTAACCAACCACATAAACCAACCACATAATCCAACCACATAAACCAACCACATAAACCAACCACATAAACCAACCACATAAACCAACCACATAAACCAACCACATAAACCAACCACATAAACCAACCACATAAACCAACCACATAAACCAACCACATAAACCAACCACATAAACTAACCACATAAACCAACCACATAAACCAACCACATAAACCAACCACATAAACCAACCACATAATCCAACCACATAAACCAACCACATAAACCAACCACATAAACCAACCACATAAACCAACCACATAAACCAACCACATAAACCAACCACATAAACCAACCACATAAACCAACCACATAAACCATCCACATAAACCAACCACATAAACCAACCACATAAACCAACCACATACACCAACCACATTAACCAACCACATAAACCAACCACATAAACCAACCACATAAACCAACCACATAAACCAACCACATAAACCAACCACACAAACCAACCACATAAACCAATAACACACGCCCTGATAGATACATCAAGAAATTCCCGATCTTCCATAATAATATAACGACAAACATTTTGGTTTGCCTGCGTCACCTTTCTTTAAAAAATGCGTCTACCCTCTAAAATCAAATTAAAATTCAAAATGATTTTTTGGTAATCAAAAGAAAAATTGCGTACCAAAATGCAATTAACCATCTCCCCACCCCCTAAACACCAGGCCTCATGCAAATCAGAAATAGTGCTCGCCATTTCTATCATCGACGTAAAAGAAAAGTTAAGTTCCCTTTCGAACCTTGAGCCTCAGGCCCCGCGGTGCAGGTGAAGTAGTTGATGAGTTTCTGTGACTTTAGGATGAGATCGTGTGGCAAGCAACAACCGCCTGCATTTTTCTCTAAAGTAAGTCAGGTACCCATCAGAGCTGGGTGGACTCAAGGATCAGAGTCAGGTACCCATCAGAGCTGGGTGGACTCAAGGACGAGAGTCAGGTACCCATCAGAGCTGGGTGGACTCAAGGATCAGAGTCAGGTACCCACCAGAGCTGGGTGGACTCAAGGACCAGAGTCAGGTACCCATCAGAGCTGGGTGGACTCAAGGACCAGAGTCAGGTACCCGTCAGAGCTGGGGGAACTAGAGTCAGGTACCCATCAGAGCTGGGTGAAGTAGAGTCAGGCAACATTAGAGCTGGGTGGAGTAGAGTCAGGTACCCATCAGAGCTGGGTGAAGTAGAGTCAGGCACCCATCAGAGCTGGGTGAAGTAGAGTCAGGTACCCATCAGAGCTGGATGCGGGGACGTTGTAAGGACTCGGGATCCGAACTCGAGACTTTCTGATTTACATTCGAACGCCTCGACCATTCGACCATCCATTATCTACGACATCAACATCGCCAGAGCACTCTCGTCATACCTTCTTGAGTTTTCCGCGCTTATGCCCTTGATAAAGATCCAGTCTGTTTGGTAGATCCCGTAGACATAGACATTCATCGGGACTTTCTGTCGGTTGGGGAAAATCAAAGTCATATTAAGTGGGTTCTAGGCCATCTATCAAATTACATTGAGTGGCCAAATGTACACGTTCTAGGCCATCTATCAAATTACACAAAGTGTCCAAATGTACATGTTCTAGGCCATCTATCAAATTACATAGAGTGGCCAAATGTACATGTTCTATGCCATCTATCAAATTACATAGAGTGTCCAAATGTACATGTTCTAGGCCATCTATCAAATTACATAGTGGCCAAATGTACACGTTCCAGGCCATCTATCAAATTACATAGAGTGGCCAAATGTACACGTTCTAGGCCATCTATCAAATTACACAAAGTGGCCAAATGTACACGTTCTAGGCCATCTATCAAATTACACAAAGTGGCCAAATGTACACGTTCTAGGCCATCTATCAAATTACATTGAGTGGCCAAATGTACACGTTCTAGGCCATCTATCAAATTACATAGAGTGGCCAAATGTACACGTTCTATGCCATCTATCAAATTACATAGAGTGGCCAAATGTACACGATCTAGGCCATCTATCAAATTACATAGAGTGGCCAAATGTACACGTTCTAGGCCATCTATCAAATTACATAAAGTGGCCAAATGTACACGTTTTAGGCCATCTATCAAATTACATAGAGTGGCCAAATGTACATGTTCTATGCCATCTCTCAAATTACACAAAGTGGCCAAATGTACACGGTCTATGCCATCTATCAAATTACATAGAGTGGCCAAATGTACACGTTCTAGGCCATCTATCAAATTACATAGAGTGGCCAAACGTACACGTTTTAGGCCATCTATCAAATTACATTGAGTGTCCAAATGTACACTTTCTATGCCGTCTCTCAAATTACACAAAGTGGCCAAATGTACATGTTCTAGGCCATTTATGAAATTACATAGAGTGGCCAAATGTACACGTTCTATGCCATCTATCAAATTACACAAAGTGTCCAAATGTACATGTTCTAGGCCATCTATCAAATTACACAAAGTGGCCAAATGTACACGTTCTAGGCCATCTATCAAATTACACAAAGTGTCCAAATGTACACGTTCTATGCCGTCTCTCAAATTACACAAAGTGACCAAATGTACACGTTCTAGGCCATCTATCAAATTACATAGAGTGGCCAAATGTACACGTTCTAGGCCATCTATCAAATTACATAGAGTGGCCAAATGTACACGTTCTAGGCCATCTATCAAATTACATAAAGTGGCCAAATGTACACGTTCTAGGCCATCTATCAAATTACATAGAGTGGCCAAATGTACACGTTCCAGGCCATCTATCAAATTACATAGAATGGCCAAATGTACACGTTCTAGGCCATCTATCAAATTACATAAAGTGGCCAAATATACACGTTGTAGGCCATCTATCAAACAACATAGAGTGGCCAAACATACACGTTGTAGGCCATCTATTAAACAACATAAAGTGGCCAAATGTACACGTTCTATGCCATCTATCAAATTACATAGAGTGGCCAAATGTACACGTTCTAGGCCATTTATTAAATACACAAAGTGGCCAAATGTTCACGTTCTATGCCATCTATCAAATTACACAAAGTGGCCAAATGTACATGTTCTATGCCATCTATCAAATTATATAGAGTGGCCAAATGTACACGTTCTAGGCCATCTATCAAATTACATAAAGTGGCCAAATGTACATGTTCTAGGCCATCTATCAAACTACATAGAATGGCCAAATGTACACGTTTTAGGCCATTTATTAAATACACAAAGTGGCCAAATGTACACGTTCTATGCCATCTATCAAATTAAATAGAATGGCACATGTTTATACATTCAAAGACATCTATTGAATTATTGCCTATGTTTTTAAGATTTATTTTTATTTTTTAAAGCTCTCTTAACTAAAAGATTTTGTATATTAGCTTAAAGCATGACAAGCAAATTTATTTACATAAGGCTTGTGTGTAGGGTGGGGAGGGGGCATGGGCAGAGAAAGAAAGAATGAAAGGTGAGGAATGAATAAAATGGTGGGGATAGGACGAATAAAACAGATAGGGGGATAGAATGAAAAAGGAGCAAGGGAAGACACTAGTAAGTTGTGTGTGTGTGGGGGGGGGGGGGGGAAGGGGGAGGGAGTGGATTTGATTTTGATACAAAGAAATAATGAAAGATAAAATGTCTGGAGTGGGGCGGGGGAGGGGGGGGGGGGGACGACGTGGGGTCAGGGGTAGGGGACCGCTTTAGTTATGTTTTAAAATTGTAACGAAACAGGTCGCTTAACACATGTCAGCTACTGAATTGAATAATGTGTTTTAGGTCGTTGAACCTTGACCTACGGTAGATCAATTGTTTCTATTTAAGTGGCCGTACTATAGGGGTAGGTCAATGCATGTGATACATAATAAATTGATCCGCGATTTTCTTTATATATATATATATATATATATATATATATATATATATATATATATATATATATATATATATATATATATATATATATATATATATATATATATATATATATATATATATATATATATATATATATATATATATATATATATATATATATATATATATATATATATATATAAATATATATATATATATATATATATATATATATATATATATATACATATATATATATATACATATATATATATATATATATATATATATATATATATATATATATATATATATATATATATGTATATATATATATATATATGTTATTTTAAATGTTGGCCTTCTTTAGCACACACAAAAATAATTTTAAACTCCAACATAGGGGGTTCTACAGGAGAGTTTAACCTATCACCTGCTCGCGTAAGTAATGCAAAATGTACTTACCGGCCGGGTAATCTGAAACACAAGAACAAAAAAAAAACAGCATTTATAGTAATTTAAATAGTAGTGTATTATTATATATTATTATATATTTAAAGAAAATCCTTTGCTCCCTTAAAGTGCATTATTACATAAAAGCTTGTTATCAAAAAAATTTTAATGCATTTTTTTTCAGTACTTTCAATTTTTATTTACAATAGAGTTGCATGACTAAAAACGATTGCGCATCAAATGAACAAGATAATGCGCGTATAATAGTGCGGAATAGTAGTATAGGACAGATTGATAATTTCAGAAAATTGTAATTAATTTACATAAAATTAATTAGGCATCCAATTAAGTCAGATTGAATGTCATATTGCTTTGTCATCAAGCCAAAAACGTGCCGAATTACAGCAAAATTGGTCTGTTAGAAGTGCCGAATATTTCGCTCGCCCGTTTCGATATTGTAAAAATGGTTGATTAAACTCACATCTCGAGGCCTGTCCCTATCATTTAATAGTGTAGTAAAGTACACATCCAATATGTCGGTCATGAGGCAGATGAAGTAGAGCTCACCTTTTTTTCAGGGACCCCGGCATATGACTAGGTAGTGTGATCGGAAAAGCTCAGCCGCCTTTATTTTTATCTAAAGTGAGTCAGGAACCTATCTGGGACTCATAGACGTTGTACGAAAAAAAAAAACCGGATTCGAACTCGAGACTTTCGGGTCAGGAGTCGTGGTGTTGCCATCCGCACACGCCGCCCCACGTCCTTGGTCTTTGATCTAATTTTAACCATCGGGCATGTCGTCGATACTGTGCGGGACCAACGTCCCCGTCCAACTTCTGATTGTAGTTGGAGTTCTAATTAACCCTAGTCTAGTCTTAGTTAAATCTAGGCCCAGCCGTCGGTATTCACATTGGTGGGCAATATCTCTGATGAAGTAGAGTTCACGTGTTCCGTGAGCTTGGCTTCACGTTTCTATCAGGGATGTGTGGACTCTGGGAGGAGGGGGGAGGGGGGAAGGGAGGGGGAATGCTAACAGCAATTGTTGTCTCTCCCCAGCTAACGAGCCTCATCTGCCCGAGGGTTCGAACTCGAGACTTTTCGGTTGAGCAACCATGAGCTTAACCTACTCGACCACGCCGACCCCTTCAAACCTGGATGATATGGTGCTAGCAGTCATGTATACTATCACTCGACCATGGCGCCACCGCAAGAAAAAAAGTAACAAAAAACAAAAAAACAACCAACAACACAGGAACAAAAGTTAAACATCAACCCACGTAGTAGTCAACTTTGGTGATGTTCACCTCCCCAGTGATGGTGACGAAGCGAATGTCCTCCATGGGGAGTCGGTGATGGAAGTCAATGAAGAGGTGAGAACCTTAACGGCCAAGGGTTTGGTTTGGAGATACAATTGTATTAGAATACTTTTCATTATATATATATATATATATATATATATATATATATATATATATATATATATATATATATATATATATATGTGTGTGTGTGTGTAGGTATGGGTGTAGGTGTAGGTGTGGGTGTGGGTGTGGGTGAGGTTGTGGGTGTGGGTGAGGATGTGGGTGTGGGTGTAGGTGTGGGTGTGGGTGTGGGTGTGGGTGTAGGTATAGGTGTAGGTGTAGGTGTGGGTGTGGGTGTGGGTGTGGGTGTGGGTGAGGATGTGGGTGTGGGTGAGGATGTGGGTGTAGGTGTAGGTGTAGGTAAGGGGTAGGTGTAGGTGTAGGTGTAGGTAAGGGGTAGGTGTAGGTGTGGGTGTGGGTGTAGGTGTAGGTGTAGGTGTAGGTGTAGGTGTAGGTGTAGGTGTAGGTGTAGGTGTAGGTGTAGGTGTAGGAGTAGGTGTAGGTGTAGGTGTAGGTGTAGGTGTAGGTTTATGTGTATGTGTACGTGTACGTGTACGTGTAGGTGTAGGTGTAGGTGTAGGTGTCGGTGT